AAATGTGAGGACAGCTCTACTCTGAAACAAAAAACTGTGGATAAAATGGTTGATGATATAAAAAGGGATAAGGTTGGGACTAGTAATATGATTAAAAGTACTAATATCCTTAAGGCTCGAGCAGGGGGGAGGCAAGAGTTGGAAGGAGTGGATGGAGAGGTCGAATCAATGATGATAGCCACAACACCCTCGAGCAGAGATGTGAAGACTCGCAAGAGGAAGAGAGAAGTGGAAGGATGGGGTAGTCCTTCAGTGGATGCTGTTTCGGAAGGAAACTTGAGAGAGACGGCGCCCATCGTTTTGGCCCGATGCAAGACGGCGGCATACAAGAACAGCTCGGAGCTCAGGAAACCACTTGAAGTAGAAAAGGAAATAGAGGTTTCCACCAGTTCGACGTCAGAAGAAGACTTCAAGCCTCAGAAGGTAAACGTGAAGAGAGGTTCAACGAACGGACAGGTAGGGGAAGTGGAGATCGGCAAAGAATGGATCTCGAAGGCACATCAGGACATGGGCAAACAAGTGACGAGTGATCCATTGGAGAGGAACAAGACGAGGAACACTTCCCGGACGTGGTGGGTGGCCCTCGAAACATTGAAGGAAATGGAGGACTGCTTGAAGAAGTTGGACAGTGGAATAGCTCGCAGGCGACGCAATTGGGCCACCCAGCAAAAAGCCGAGGTTAATAAGATAGAGATGGCAAGTCATCTGAAGAGGTCCTGGCAGAGTTTGTTGAAGGATCATTTTGAAGAGGCGATGAGAACATCCTCATCAGCACCGCCACTAATGGCGAATCCCTTCGTTAGAACTGCGGGACAATTAATGTTCACCTGGAGTCTGGTGGGAATAGAGTTGGAGACATTGACCTCGTATGACAGGCTGAAGTTGGGAAGCAAGAAGCTAGAGGTGTATCAGGCACTGATGCAACACGTGGCCAGGGACAATTCAGGCTTGAGCCTGGCTAGAAGAAAAGATGCCACATGTTTCTTGAGATGGACAATGTCAATGATGTCTGATAGCACCATCCTGGCATGCCACCAGAGAGCAAGTGGAAGTAAAACCATGGAGAGAAGAGTCTCAACGATCATCTTGAACGTATATCAGAGTACAGGAATAGAGAAAGAAGATGGTTCCAGACTATCCTTAGAGAGCCATCGAAAACTGGACGAGGTACGGAGGTTCTCTAATAAGAAGTTCGAGGAAGAACATGATGTTCACCGTAACCTGGCCTCGTCAGAACAGTACTCGAGACTCAGTGAGAAGGGGGAAAACCAATATGTGTCTGGAGTGATGGGAATAGCCTACAATCCCTTCTTAGACTCGGAAGCTGGAGGAGCCCACAGAAACCATGAGGTAGCGGAGCTACTGAAGTTTTGGACAGAAAGAATAATGGAAATAGACGCGGTGGAAAAAGAGGGGCCGAGCCTGGGCCTGATTCTTGAGAAAACACCAGAGGTGATAAGCATACCGCGCTCAAACAAGAGAGTTGAAGTGAACATGGGCGGTGGAAATGGCTTGTTAACCACGAACTTGGGAGTGATATGGAAGCTACTAAGACCCTCCTGGTGTCCACATCCCCATGCAAGTCTAATCGAGGAAACCACAGAGCGAGTGAGGTTAGCACCAACGGAAGATGAAGATCTGGCGAAGTTGAGTGTGCTACATAAGCTAATCACGCCCCAGATGCAAGAGCCAAGCGAAAGGACGAGCGACCCCGGGTCAGCAAAGAAATTGGAGCCGGGTAGCTGTCTGGATTCGACGTGTGGGAACGGAGAGCACATCTGCGATGGACGGTCATGCGTCAGAATACTGTCGTTTCAAAAAGAAGAACTGGTCACTTGGTTCGAAGACATCACAGAAAGGGAGAAAAGTGAAGTGCAAATAATAGCGGAATGTTACGCGAGAACCACGGTGAATATGGCGACAGCTCTCGGATTCTTCTCGAGAATGTGTGGTCTGCAGGCACTGGAGAGACTGGAGTCTGAACATCATTTAGTGACGGCGTTGAGCGTAGAATCATGGCCCGGGGTGTTGCAGGTGACTCAAAAACACATCCGGAGCTGGAAGGTTGGTCTTGAGGCGGAAATGAGATTTCCCATGAGCGAAGCTTATGGCTTGCCATTGAACGCGAAATCGCTGATAGGGTCAATGATGGCCAACTTGTGCGGAAGTCACTACCCGCTACACATGGCGATGGTGGAAGTGTCCAGCCAGAGAATACTGGTGGACAAAGCCTTCTCAGTGCCCAAGTGCGTGAGGTTGGCTCGGATGTCGCATCACTCGCATAAGTTGTTGAGAAAAATCAAAGGGACAGTACCAAAAGAATTGAGAGATGACTTAAGCGAAATCTGGGGAGAAGATCTTCTGAAGTTGGAAAGAGAAAACACGAGCGATCACGAGAGACAAAACGTGATCGGGAAACCTGTGGGAAGTACTCCGAACCTGGAAGACAACGACACGATGCACGAGAAAATGATGGAGCTTGAGCCTCTCTTGGAAGCCTCAGGGGAGCGTAATCTCAGGAGCATTGAGATCTCTCATGGGGAATGCCCATGCCACTGTTTGGCACAAACGGTGTGGTATCCAGATCACAAGAACCTTTGCCTGGTGTGGGATGTGGAAGAAATTCGGTCGATCGGACTACCGGATCACCGGCAGAAGGTGACGCTCTTAGTAGTGAGTACGATGTTAGCTCTGAGATGGATAGAAGAGAATATAACGAAGTATCGGGAGGCGACGATGCCAACGGCTGAGTCAATATACGCGATAGACTACAGCAGGAGACTCGAGTTGTTTGAGACTGCGTGCAAAGTATTCGCCATACCGACGGAAGTCAGGCACGTATGGAGTCGCTTGAGGTACTTTCCATGGTTTCGGGCGACACTGACGTCTTGGTTGTACATGACAACGAAAGATCACATGAGAAAACATCAAAAAGAGTATCGACAGTTCCAGGCCGAGATTGGGCCGGAAGCTTTCAAGAGACCCCTGCTAACCCATCGTAATGCGATCACGACAGGATGGAAAAGAGTGGGTAAGATGTCTAGAGACAATACCAAAGCGAGGGAGTCGATACTAGGGGAAGACCTGGCGAAGAACGTGAGCTTGAGCCTGCACAACTCCTTTTGCTTGAACCGAGAAGCTAGGGTGAAGGCACTACCCAACCAAGCAAAGAGATTGCAGGAGCAGAGAGAATGGATGCGATCCTATGAACAGCTGAAGGCTTGGGAGGAGATTGTGATTAGTTCCGATGATGAAGAGGAACTGTTGAGACAGTTTGCCGCATCTAGCACTTCAGGATGCAGTACCTCCAAGGCGAAGAGCACGAGATGAATGGGCAAATCGGATGGATCTTGAGTCTTGAGAGGGAAGGGGGGCTTGAGCGTGGATCCGAGTGAAACTTGGATTCACGAAAAAGAAATTTTAACAAAGCAAATATTGTTACTAATATACTATATTTATTATATAAATCGAAGTGCTGCATGACAATTTCCTGATTGAATAGGACAAAAGAGATTTTAAAATGATTGGCTTGAAAAGCGAAAATTCAAGGGTGCAGGTGTATGCAGATTTTGGTTGCTGTTTAGCAATAGTGTGAAAATTTTAAATGGCTGTGAATTTTGGGGTGTAGATAAGCTTAAATCTGCTGCAAACTTCTGTAAATGACCACTGGCACTGTATCTTGAGCAACACTCGGTTTTTCTGGGACTCACTGGCAGAAGACAGCGCGCGATGAGGACATCGATCTCGAGTCCGGGGAGTATGTGCCAGTCGGTCATATTTGGAAGTTTGACCTTGAGAGAAGCAAAAAACACTTGATTTTGGAGTGAAATTTAATTTTTCAAAATTTCGAATGGAACCTGTCATGCACGATTTTCTCGCGAGAACTGAAAATCAGAAAAAGAGATCAGAACAATTTCAGAACAATTGAGTCGAAAACGCGGGAAAGTCGCAAGAAAAAGCAGTAGGAAATTGCTATTCGCAATTTCCATCACTATAATAATCGAGAGTAGAGCTGTCCCATCTGTGACAGAGACGAGAGCATTCCCTCGAATTGGATTATAACGACTGGAGTATTATTCGGAACTGGACTAGAGTGAACCTTCGGTGGAAAGGTGGACAGCTTGAGTGTCCTAATGGTTCACAAGAAAACTATTGTCTAGAGTATAAACTCGTTCTCATTGTTAAAACTATAAAACATTAGACTCATTTAGTTACGTTATTTAATTCTTGAGTTAGTTACCGACTGGATTATTTCCCACTTCTTGAGCGTGCTACTATGTGAGTACAAATTTAAATTCCTAGAGTGTGTTTTATAATTGTTATGTTGAGGTAAGGCGAGTTTTAGGTTGATCCATCTGAAATGGATCAAAGTTCCACTGTCTAATAAAAAGTAACTTAACGGATTGTTCCAACCCGGTTTTTAACGGCGTTCATGTATTTTGGGTATCTAGAGACCTAAGTATGGGGACGTTTCTAATTCTAGAGTGGGGGGATATTTTAGTAGTAGCCTTTAAGCTGTAACGGGTCGTAGTCTCATGTCACAAGCGAACCGAACTGGCTCCGACCGTTCTTGAGGTAGAAAAACACAAGAGATAGTGTCCCTGACCCTTGAGCCAGTGGTTATAGGGCCTATTTTTCTTAAGCCTCATGTGTGACTGCAGTAGACGAATGTTACATTAATAGTGCACTGCAAATTCCTTTTTTCAAGCGCAAGTGGACTATAATTGTTCAACCGACAATTAGCGACGATAAACTTGTTGTCTACATGCCCTGAGCTTCTGAGTGTACTTAGAAAATATGTTAAAAACTCTCAGTAATTTGTGGTTAAGTTTAAAAAATTGTTAAATAATAATTGTTACATGATTTAAGTAAGCGGGAGTAATTTTAGTAAGCGGCGTTAAATTTTTGCTTTGATTTTGCCCGGTTTCATTTTGCTCTTTAATTTAAAAAGAGTAAATTAAACATGAAATTTTTGATTGATGAGTGACAAATTATTTTTATTAAAGAGTAAAATGACTTCATTTCGCGTGCCACAAAGCAAATATCGGCACGTATTTTCGACAAGTCTTAAACGAGAGCTATGTTACGAAGACTTCAGATACTCAACAAGCTCTTGTGACAATCCGCTATGTGCTGCCAACCCGAAGTTTCTTGCATTTTGCATCGACTGTGGCGGGGGAGGAGCGTTTCAGGTACCAATTGAACTTTAAAATTAGTATTTTTGTAATCGAATATCAAAAGCGGTGAGTGAGTTCTGGTTTAATCCAAATTCAGGTGCGCGCAGGATTGATGGAAAAATAATTTTCAAGTCTTTTCAGCGGTGGCCTGTGGTATAAAGAGTTTCGCCGTTTTCTCTTGATCAGTTCCGTACTTCGTTTCGTTTGAAGCACAGAGAGCAAAATATTTAGTTTTAAATTATATATGCTATCGAAATTTTCTGTTCTACGCAAAGTCACAATTAATCGTAATTAGTCACCCTTCCCAACAAAAAAATCGTTTCACTTTTTTTAAATGGTTTAAAAATGATATTTCTGATTGGATCTTTGGTTCTAGTTTACCTATTTGGTCCCTCGACACAAGTAGTGTACATGATTGGTTCATATTTTCTTTTTGCTTTGATGAGTAGCTTGACAGTTAGAGTTAAATCTGAACAGGCCTTGCTTACTTTGGGAGAAATACCACGCGTTAAGTTACCACAACTTATTTAGTAAATTTGTGTCACAAATGCGGTTGACTGATGTTTCGGAGGATCATTGATCTGGAATCTCTAAATTTAATAATCCACGATAAGTTTATTGAAATCCACTTTTTAGCTTAAAAGTTTAAAAATTAAAAAAAAAAGGATGAAATAGCATCAGAAAAAAAGGGGGAAAAGAAGCACCCGAAGAGGGAAGGAAAAAAAAAGACCACAGGTAGTTTGAGGGCTCAAAAAAAATTAGTACCAAGATTTAAATTGCACCGAAACCGCTTACTCATTTCTGAATTAAATATATTGTCGACTGCGTTAGCTTTAACTGTAAATATTTTAAAAATTAGTTCTAACCAATTTTGGATTCCTATAACAAAATTTGCGCAAATTTAAATCTGTTTTTAGGCTATTCCTTTGAGCAAGAATGGTCGACTCAGCGCTGCGTATCCTCGTTTCGACGCACACAGCGGAGACATCCTTGATATCCAATTCAATCCCTTTGATGATAACATGGTGGCCACGTGTTCAGACGACACAACTGTCAAAGTTTGGGAAATTCCCGAGGGTGAGTGTCACTGAAATATGACGAATACTTTTTTTGGTTATTTTCCTAATTGTCATTTTCTTTAGTAGCATGAAAAAATTTTCTTTTATTCAGCTGTGGGTAGCAAAGACTTCCTTGGTGCCATTAAAAGGCCACTTTTGGAAGATATTTTCATGGGCATATCCCACACAAAAATTCGTTGTTTGTGGTATAAGGTCAATAATTGTTGTTTGCTTTTTTCATTGCGTTGTTTTAGGAGAAATGACACACTCTATTGAGATTCCCTTCAGAGAATTGAATGGCCATCAGAAGAAGGTCCACATCATTGAGTGGCACCCATCCGCCGCTAATGTTTTACTCTCTGCCGGTGGGGACAATCTTGTTCTGATCTGGAATGTACTCAATGAAGAGGCCATGTTCCATGTGGAAGTACCAGAACAGCTGTTCTGTGTAAGCTGGAGCTGGAACGGAAAATACTTCGCAACATCCTCTAAAGACCTCTTCATCAGGTTATACGATCCAAGAAAGGAACCAGGACAGCAAATGATCCAGATTACATCAGACAAAGCACACGAGGGCAAAAAACAGATGCAAATCAAGTGTCTGAAAAATGATCGATTGGTAAGTACTGGATTTGGTAAACAGTCTGTTCGACAGTACGCACTCTGGAGCATATCGACAGAGGCTGGCCAACCGACATTGGAATCTGGAGCTCTCATGGAAGAAGAACTGGACCAGACTAGTGGAGTTCTCTTCATAATTTATGATCCAGATTCGAATATGATTTACCTTGTGGGAAGAGGAGACACCACAATTAGACTGTACGAAGTGAAGAGCAATGACATTGTGTATCTGAATTTGCAGAATTACCCACAACCACACAAAGGAGTTGCATCTCTGCCTAAGAGAGGATTGAACATTATGAGCTGTGAGATCATGCGATTCTACAGGTAATGTAGTAGTAGTAGTAGTAGTTTGGGCTTTGGATTATCTGATCCAGAGCTCGCGCCCGTCACTTCATAGCTATATAAGTTGGTCAATGTCGAAATATATAATTTGGTCAATCCTTATCCTTTTGATAATTCTAATTGCACGTTTACAAAAGTTGTACATATATCAAAGCTTAAACTTTCTTTTTACAGGTAAGGCACAAAAGGTGTTAGTGTTAAGAATTTGTCAAACTGCAATATGTTAATAACAATCAAATCAAAAAAGCATTTTAGCCAAAGTGATATTAATTGACAATTAATGCATGTTGAAAGTATTCTTATAGTTTTTCTAAGGGCTTTCAAAGCTGACGATCTGTCTTTTTTTATCCTTGCGATAAGCAAGGGTTTTGCAATCGGTTACTAGACTTTCTTTCCGGCAAATAACTTATGTTCACAGAATGGTCAAAATTAGAAAGGTACATTTATGTTCGGTACATTCTGAATTACAACTTCTTCGTCTACGGTACTTTGGCCTGGATATAACGAATATGCCTGGGACAGCAATAGTTCGGGGTTCGAAACTGAGAGGACCTGATTTTTTAATCAAACGGGAAAAAAATCCGTTTCAAAAAAAATTGTCTGCTTATCTTTTGGCGGTTCAGTTGCCACATCGTATAAATGTGTCTTTTTTTTGCTGCGTGTTTTTCACATTGTAATTGCTTGTAGTCTTTCGATTTACTTCTGGTGTTTGTAATTTCTTAACTTCTAATGTTTTTCTTTTTTTTTTCGCTTGAAAATTTTATTTTCCCAAATGATTTCGGCGCTTAGTGACCTAGTTTTGAGTCGTTTCAAGCTAAACATAATTTTTATGCTCATTGGATTGCAGAAATTGCTAAAATTTTTATAGAAACAATAGCTCAAGTTTTTGTTTTTCATGGCAAGATTTTTTCGGCTTTTTGTTTGTTAAGTAATGAACGTAGTGGGAACTCTTTTATAGGTCTTGCTGATTTTTTGGTTTGTTTTTTTCCCAGGAAAAAGTCTTAAAATTTGTTCACGCTCAGTTTTGATTTTCGCGGTTTGACTTGTGATTTCTTTTCAAGTTCAGTGCATTTCCAGTGTTAAAAGGAAGGCAAACTCCACTAACTTACAGCAAAAGTGTAAAGGTCACGAAAAACGTGATCGACTTATGATTTAAAAAGTGGAAATAAATTATCAGATTTCGCAGCGAAATGAAAGTTTTACGTATTGATCCAGTTTTTTTTAAATTGGGTTAATTTTAACAAAAAAAGTGTCAATCATAAATTGTTCTACAAGTTCGAGCTTTAAGGCCATCTATTTGTTTTCTTCGAAATTCAAAAGTTGAAGGCTCTTGAAAAAAAGGTCGGTTTTTTTTCAGTTTCCTTGCGTTCATTACTCTTTTCCAACTGTTACTTGGCTATGTTTATTCTTTCTCGACTTGATAGGTTTCGGGTCCAAACTATATCGGCTTAATGGCCTCATATGGCGTCTTTCGACGAGCGTAAAGCTTTTGTTTGTGCTTGTGTGTTTATGTGGGAGATGGACTTGTTGATTTTTTTTCGGCTTTGAGTGCTTAGGTATTTTCGGCTTTGTTACCCCATCTTCTTCTGATTTGAATTTCACATAATATTGTCTAGGCATGTTTTTGTTTCAAAACTAGCCTGATTCGTTTTGATAGATCTAGTTTTTTTCTACATGTTCGAATTTTTTTGATTTGTTTCCGACTTTGCGGCCTTTTTGTTTTGTATCGCAGCGTTCTGAAAAACTCTGTGCCTCTGTGCTTTGTTTTGAAAAACAATTGAGTTATTCGCAGGGTGTTGCCAAACAAGAACATGATTGAAGTGGTGAGTTGGACAGTGCCGAGGAAAAGTGACATGTTCCAGGCTGATCTCTATCCAGACACGGCTGCCAACAGACCGGCCATAGAGGCGGATGAGTGGCAGACCGGAGTGGACGCAGACCCCATCATGGTACATTCAGGATACTTTAACTTCATTCAGTATCTGTTTTTCAAAGTGGACTTGATAACTTTTAGGTCATTGGAAATAAAGTATTTGGAATAAAAGGGCTAATCGAGATCCCATCATGGTACAATCAGGATACTTTAACTTCATTCAGTCATATTTACGCTTTGTGTCATTCAACATAGGGAGACAGAGAGTATCTGTTTTTCGAAGTGGACTTGATAACTTATAGGTCATTGGAAATAAAGTATTTGGAACAAAAGAGCTAATCGAGAAAGTTCTTGGTTAATTAATATCTTGAAAACTTATGATTTTTCCAGCTTACCTAAATGATAGTTTTAGCGAACCGTGTCTAGTTGAAGAACTTGCCTCTGTGCTTATTTTTGAAAAACAATTGAGTTATTCGCAGGGTGCTTCATGTTGTGACGAAAAAAAAATTTTTGTTCCGACTTTTGTAACGAAAGTAACGGAATATTTGTGCACGGGGTGGTTTTTTTTAGACAAATTTTTGACTTTTTAACTAGAAATTTTTGACGGAATTTATTTTTATCATTCAAAAGGTATTGTTGTCCTGAGCTTAAATTTGAAAAGATATTTTACCTGTGATCATTTTTCGTAAAGTTATGGGGGTTTAAAGATTGCCATTTTGGCCAATTTGGGACAATTAATGCACGTTTTATTTCGCGCTATTAACGCGTAAGCGGAGATTTAATCCGTTTTAGAAATTGTTCCAAATTGGTTAAAAGAAGCTTATTTGCCATAATTGATTTGTCACTAGGAGCGAAACCTATCACTTTGTGTTTTATATGGCGTGTGGGGGGATGAATTCCACAAAAGTTTCAAATTAAAAAAAAATTCATTTTATTTTATTACATGTAATTTTGCATGTTATTACTGCTCCATAAACCTTAAAAGGCAGTCGGAACATTCAGAGCTTCGCGTTGATACGAGCAGTCTTGTTTGGTTTGATGTGGGAGTGTCTCTATACAGCATATTGTGTGGTTGTTTAGGCTCCAGTCCAATCTTTAGTGGAATCACCCGAGGATAAGAAGAAGTCGAAACCTGGAGGAGGGGAGCAGTCTGCTATGAGCAGGGCAGAAATGATTGCAGCCAGAGCACAAGCCAGAGTGCAGCAGGCAGCAGATGAGAAGTATGGACAAAGTGGCGGAGGTGGACAGTCGAAGATGAGTCGATATGATCGAGAGCGGGAGGCGGCTGGTCTGTTGCCTCAAGCAGGAAGCAGTAGCAATGGGCACAGCGGGGGATCATCTGATAAAGGGGGAGAAGGCGACGGAAGAGAAGGTTCGTCTCCACCGAAATAAAATTGAAGAGGAAGATAATCAGTTTACATGCAATTTGGTTGGAATATTTTAGCCTTAATTCTGTGTTTTTGCCTAAATTAATAATGTTATTTCATTGCTCTGTGCGTTTCGGCTTGATTAGTGTAATATTGAAAAAAAAATTGTTTACCTGTTTCATCTATCAGCCAGCTTATCTATCAATCAACAAACCACAATCGGCAACATGAAAAAGGTTCCTGGTTAAGTTTGAGGTACAGGAGTTTCAAGGAGTAAGTCTGAGCTTAGTGTTAGTGTGCAAGAAAATAAAATTTATACTTATCTTCTTACTTCATAATGTTCACTGGAAACGCTAACCAAATAATCTTTTTGGAACTTAGACTTGGTTGCTTTCTGATGAAAAGCCATTTGGTTCAAATGGCTCAACTTATGTTTCAAGTTGGTTGTAGACTTTTGTCAGTAGAAACGTTCTGATTGCTTATTGTGCACGTGATAAGACGTGAATAGAGAAACAATGTACAACTTGCTCTAAATAAGTAATTTTTAGGACAAAGTGGAAAACACATTGCACAGCTAGTGGATGAAATGAGGAAACTAACTCTGGTAGTGAAGGCTCACGAGGCCAGAATCAAACAGCTGGAGGAACAGCTGGAACAAGCACAGCAGAACAACCAAGGTGGTAACAACAACAACAACAGCAGCAGACAGGAACTGAACAATGAGCTGGACGAATTGGCTATTAAGAATGGAATTGCACACTGATCGCTGATGATGATGTTGACAGTTATCAAGCACACGAAAAGAAGCAGGCGTTTGAAAAACAAGTCAGTTGAATGTCACTTGAGTTAATTCCAATTTGAGAAAGAGTCTTGAACAGCAAAGAAACCATTGAAAAGTAATCGTATTTACACTCCTATGAGCAGTTTGACTATATTTATCAACAAGAAGAAATAATTGTTAATGTAATGGATTTGGATGTCTCTGATGCCTTGACAAAACCAAAGTGACTTCTTAATTTTTCAACCTTCAGCTGTATGTCAATGTTGGCGTCTGTCTCGTTTCGCATGCCGGTCTTAATTCGTGAGTTTGAGTCGCATTTTATTGAGTGATTGTAATTGGTCGGAATTCCAGTCTTTGTAACTTGCTCAGCGGCGCTTTCGCCGGTCTTTTGTAGTGTAATTTTTTAATTTATAAGTGTTTTCTCTCCGATTTACAAACAACCAACAGAAAAGATGCAATAAATTGTTGCGTGTCATCAGGTATGCTCATGTTTTTCGAGCGCATTAGTTTATGATGGCTGCTTTTGATATCCATGAATTGCAATGCACTTGTGCTCAGTCAATGTTATTCAGTACAATTACAACAAACAATCGCTGGCTTAATTTATTTTGTCATAGATATTTTTAATTTTTGTAAAGTCAATTTAGTAAACCCTACTCTTATAATGTATTAAATTTAATTTCATATGAATGTCCTTTCCTCACACGCCATTTTGGCTGGTCAAGTTTTGAATGCAATCAAGTTATGAGATGAAGTTATGAACTACCTGAAATTATGAGATGAATCAGTGTTTGCAGTGTTAAACAAAAAAATATTAGGAGAAATTTAGCACCTGTCTTTTCCTGCTTCTTAGCTCTCGTTTTCCCCCTTAATGAGTGCTTGATGACCTGACCTGACCTCTTAGTTTCTGTGCTATTATAGAGAGATGTAAAAGTTTGGACAGACAAAATGAATTTAAGAAAGAGCTAGCTGCAGTTTTGAACGGAAAATTGAATTTTCATTGGCTTTGACATTGAGTGTGTCTGCAAAACTAGCTTTTAATGCTACCTTTTTCAGAAATAGGGTCATTGCTTTTGTTAATTAGTTTGTCTTAACTTTTACAACTTATCAAACTGCCAAACTTGAAGGTCAAGTGTTGTGCTGTACTGTGCTGCATCCATTCCCAATTCTCTCACCCTCCCCCCATGCTTTTCAAGATCCACCCTCACCCCAAGTTTCACAATCAAATCTGGTCAAATTTATCTTTTTTATTTGTAACCAACTCGCTCGCTTTCTGATTTGGATGTTTTAACGCAAGTAGTGTTTGTGCAGTAGATAGAATGAAACACACAAAAAGTAATTTGACCGGACGACCTTGAATGTATTAAGACCATCAAATAAGACCCGTCCCCTTTTTCTATAAAAATGAATGGATAAAAATTAGTTACTTCGCTACTTCACCTAAAACAGTGAACGACATTAATATAAGTATTCCATTTCCTCCATCTTTTCAATTATCAAATAGTGAATTCATGCAAGGCGGATGGACAATTTAAAACACAAGTGAGTGGCAACGGGATAGTCGAAATAAAGTACTGCAGAATAATCTCGTTTGAAATTGGGGCTCTGTAGAGAATTGAAAGAGCAAAATTGAGCTACACGTGAAGCTAAGATGTTTCTTAGATGGGTGTTTGCATTCTTTTTTGGTTCTTTTGATGCCTGAAAAAATAAAATTAAATAGAAACATTACTCAGCATTAAAACTTAATTTCGAAAAAAAAATCTGAAATAGCACTGAAGAAAGCTAAAGTTTTAACTCTGGTGGAGCTGGCAGAACAAATGTTACAAATAAAACTTTTTCCAATGTAATTCGCTCAGTTATTTGAACATATTTTCGTGCTAAGTTGATTTAGCGTTAATATCTGAGCAGCATGAAATATACTGCCTGGTATTAACACTTGAAGCATGAAAGAGCGAGTTGTTAGGAGTCCTTGTTCAAATTTCGGCTCGGTCGCGGCAAATTGAAGGTTTGAAGCCGCGGTATGGAGCCGCGAAATTGGCTTATTAATTTTCGGCTTAATTAATATCGACTTAGTGGCCTCTTATTGCGTCGTTACGTCCGAAAAAGTGCTCGTGTATGAGCTCCTAGGGGAAAGGGACTTAACATTTTTTATAAACTAAAATTTTTTTGAATTTCTTTTCGGCATGTGTTTTTTCGGCTTTGTTACCGCATGGTAATATTAAATTCAATCACAATCAACCAATCTGGCGTAGAGGTAAAAACAACTGCTTGAGACGGCAAAGATTTGCGGTTCGAATCCGGCCGGGCCCTTTTTTAAGTTTAAGTTCCTTTTTCTACTATCGTCCGTCAGTTTATTTTTGTCGGCTGTTTTGGTAGCTCGATGGTTCAGCTTTATTTCAAGTTAATTGTAACCCCAGTGCTTGAGGCGACAATGATCGGGAGCACAAAGCTCTTTATAGAGTTTTTTATGGTGCAGCCAGTTTTGTTCCGGATATTTTGCGCTTTTGTTGCAATTTTTATTGACAAAAACGATTTTTGAGTTTTTTGTTTGATTTTCATAGTTATTCACATTTGAATCGATTTGCTCAGCTTCGCCTCTGTGCTCAATTTTCTTTTGTTCTGAAAATAATGATTTGTCTTAGAAAAGCTTTTTATGAAGATTTCATTAAGTTTGCGCGCGTCAGACAATTTTAAAATTGAACAGTCAATTGTCCTAGGAGAAACTAGACATGTAGTCCGTTATGAGGTATAGAGACGGATTGTTCTGCGAGTCTAAGTTGAGAATAAAATTTGGTGTCTATTAAATCTGCCGACAAATAAAGATATTTACGCGATTTGAAATAAATGAACCGCTCATTGAGGGTACCTTTTGTACCTGTTCAGAGAGTTAGGTGTTATTTTTAGGTATGTCTGTTACCAGTTTTCTCTCGCCCATGTTTTGGGACGAGATTGCTAATTCCAACTACATTCGGATTGAACTGTACGCTATGAATTGGACTCTTCTAGACATAGACTTGACAGCGCTCATAGGAGTTGGAGCTCCCTATAGCGGACCAGTAGCATTGCGTCTTGACACTTCCAAACTTGTAAAGTCTTCATTGGCTAATAAATGGAAAGATATCACAGTTTTCAGCTCCTCTGGAAACCTACTGGCTAAAATAGAGAAGCCGAATAAAATGTTGACGATGGGGTGGACTTTGGAAGAGGATTTGGTGTGTGTTAGTGAAGACGGGCAGGTTAATGTGTTCGACCTGGAAGGGCGGCCGAGGTTGTTCACAAATAAAGTGCTCTCTTTTGGCAGTGATGTCAGGGACATATCCATCATTGACGCCCTGGTGTACAACGAACCCAAGAGGGCACATACAGGTGTGTACCTGAGACATGGGAGAAAGTTTAGGCTTTTTTCAGGTCGACTTGATTTTCCGTGCTGTTCCAAAACACTATAACAAACTTATGTTGGCACAACTTTCTTCGCTGTCGATGAATTTCTGACAAAAGAGGATACAAAGGCTCTTTTTGGCACGTTTTTGTAGGTTTTGACAAACAAATCGCATTTTTCAGCGCAAGGTCCCCTCTTAAAGTTAGTATATTTTGACGCCAAAGGCGCTTATAGAAAAGTTTTGGTACCGGTCGACTGGAAATGAATGTCGCAAAAAAGGTAACAAAAGGGGAACCCTTTGGATAGTGACAAAGTCAAGAGCCCATAATTTAAGTAAGCCCCGACTCCAGCGGGCATTACAAAATTCGATCCAAATTTGTAATTTCAATAATATCCAATGATTACATCGTACCTAGGAGCATTAACAAGGTGCTGAACTTCATGCTCTGCAACATCATAGTTCCTAGTTTTTAGTTGGCTTTTTATTATTCAGCTCAAATTCCGAGTTCCTCTGTTTAGGTGTTGCCATTTTGACAACTCAGTTCACATTCTACGTGATGCCCAGTGTGGAACAGGAGACATACCTCAAGTACCCAGACGTACCTGGACTGAACATGCCCCCCTCTTGCTGGTGCGTCTACTTCCCAGAGGGGTCCAAAGCATGTATCCTTCTGGCTAAAGAGAAGTTCATGTACACTTTGTCGCCTGATGGGACCATAACAGAGACTCTTCTGCAGACGAGGAGTCCTGTGGATACTTTCGTTGCTTGTGCTCTGTCCAGGTTCAGTCTACAGTGATTCGAAAAGATCTGCAAAATTCATTGATTGTAAAACAAATTTTTCTTAATACCATATGATAGCCGAGCATACTTTTTCTGTTCTTTTAGAGGTGTTGGAAATTGAATACCTAAAATTATGGTGGATAAAGATCACAATATTGAAAAAAGAGGTCAAAATGGGTCTAAATTGGGTGATAGTTTGATTATTATGAAGCATGCCATTAGAAAACACCAGTTCCAGTTTGAAGTCAAATTTGCGGTTCCATTTCATTTTCCGTAATTTTACTCCGGTAAAATTGGCAGGATCTACTTGAACATTTTGGGGATAAACTGTTATGAGTCAACGAATAGGGTACCAAACCTTCATTTATAATAATGAAATACAACAAAATGTTAAAAAGAGCAATCAGAATCACTGTTAATTGTAACTGTAGAAACTGCAACTACCTTGCTCTGATGGGCAACACGGGCGTTGTGTGGCTAGGCACTGCGAACATGAAGACGAAGTTTGCAGAGTACGACACTAAACAGACTCATGTGCCGAAGGAGTTCGCATGGTGTGGAACTTCGGCTGTAGTAATGTATGACAATAGAACGAGGAATCTGTCTCTGATTGACCTGAGTGGACAATGTCTCAGATACGATGTGGCCAATGACGTCATACTCATCAGCGAAATGGACGCACTACGCATTTTCAGGTTTCTTCTTTTTATCTTACAGCAACGATGGAGCGGTGGTGAAACTTCGGCTATCATTGCCTCTTAATTGAAGGCTCGGTTTTTCGAGACCCACCATAATCCGTGCTCAATACTTAATGTTGAAAGAACGTATCCCACTTATAAAAAAACCACAAAATCAGCTGAAAAACTTGTTCGTAATCAGCGGCATTACACCGTTTTTGCGTTCAAGCCCTGATCAGCTGGAACGTTTGTTTTTGCCGCGTGGATAGTTGGTGTTGTTTGATGGTCGGTTTTTTCTCACTTTTTAACATTGAATTATGATTGACCTCACAAAAACTGAAAAATCAATGAAAATTTTCCATTGATTTGTCAGTTGTGAGGTCATTCATAATTCGAGTTTTTTTTGTTAGCGAGGAGAACCATGAATTGATGCAGAAGGTGCCGCAGAGTGTGGTGAGTATCTGCAGTATGGCATCTACCACAGCTGGGGCCAATCTGTTCGCAGCTGCCAAACTATTCAGTGAGGAGAGTGCGAAGAGCTACGACTACCTAGAGGAGTACAGACAAGATATGGAAGTGGCTGTTGACCAGTGCATACTAGGTTAGTTAGCGTTGTTTAATGCAGGAAAGTAAAACTTCAATGTATGTTTTAAGTTCATTTAGATTGGCATTAATCTGAAAAACTGAAATAATTGTCAGAGTAAACTACAACTTAAACATCAACTTAAGAGGTGCTTTGAAAATGGAGAGCATTCATGGCTGATACCTTTCGTTTCAAAAAAAGTGTCAGATGTTGACAAATCGGATCCAATTTGACAGTTATGATTTACACGATTTTAGATTTTATAGGGAAAGCCAACGAAACATTAATGTTTTTTATTTCTTTTCAGCTGCTTTGGAGTGCCATTTCCCCAACGATCAGGAGGAACTGCTTCGTGCTGCTTCGTTTGGAAAATGCTTCACATCGGACCCCTCAGGAGCAGAGAAGTTTGCCAGTGCATGTCGCACCCTGAGAGTGCTGAACAACATCAGAGATCCCCAGATAGGGGTGCCCCTCACGCACCAGCAGTACAAGGCACTCGGATTCACATCAGTGGTCGATCGAATGATATTGCGTAATCTCTGGCCTCTAGCTGTGTCTATATGCGAACATCTTCAGGTACACGTTTGATCGATATATCTCTAAAAAGAAAATTTGGTCTAAATTTGTAAAGTTGAATGGGGCGCGTATGTTATAATTCCCTGTTTTAGATCCCAGAAGCAGAAGGTGCGAGTAGAGTGAAGAAACACTGGGCATGTTGGAAGATAACCCAGGATACTTTATCATCCCGAAAAATGGCAGATGAAGAACTGGCTAAAGTCATTCGCAACAAGCTAGAGAAATCATCGGGCATATCATACGCTGATATCGCTAAGCGCGCGATTGACTGCCAGAGAGACGAACTGGCGATTCAGTTGTTGAATTTTGAAACCAGAAGTTCACATCAAATCCATTTGCTGATTAAACTTAACAGACATAGCGTGGCTTTGGATAAGGCTATTCAAAGTGGAGATCCTTTCTCAATTTATGACGTCATAATAAATCTCCAGAACTGTATGTCTAGTCTGGAGTTCCAACGTCTCATCACGTCGAACAAAAGAGCTCTGAGTTACTACATGAAGTATTTGAAGAATTCGAGTAGAGACCAGTTGCTGAGGATGTATGGACAGAATGATGATTATTTCAACCAAGGCGAGATGTTTTTCTTTGATTGTGTTGAACTTCTTTTGAAAATTTCAAAAGTGTTGCTCAGGTTTCTGTCAGATGGCGGAAACCTGGTTTTTCACTTACTTGGCCTAATTTCGTTTGTCTAGATTTATGAAATCATAGATAGCTGTAAATGCACACACATGATTGGCTGAAATCAAACTAATTGTCAAGTTATAATTACAAGCACGCGTTTAATGATAAACTACTGATGTAAAGGCATTATTAGGGTTAAATTCGGAACCAAAATATAACCCCAAAAATGGGTCATTATTGCTTTTTAGTTAATTACGCATGCGCAGCGTAGTGTATTGCGAAGAATATTTTTCTAACCTAAGTCGCAAATGTAAGTGTTCATTTGTTATATTTTAATTTAATCATATTTAAGCTCATTTAAGCATAAACTATTTAATGGCAAATGTTGCTGCTTTATTTTCGGAAATTTCAATTTATCTCATAAACTATGTACCAATTTTCAAAAAAATTGACCAATAAAAAAACCGGATATTGTTCAATGTGCCTGCCTTTTTCGCTGTCTATTCTCATTTTACCTCCCATTCTATGGCCTTCGAATTTGTTTCATTTTCTCAAGTAATGAATTCAACCTGAGATGAAGGTTGCAATTAAAAGAACAAATTATGGGGATATCTCCTTCTCATGCGGATATTCCCTAAATGCGGTAGAAAAAAAGATATGGCTTCAAGCAAGCCCATTTTTTTGATGTTTTGGTTAATTTTTCAGAAACTACCCTACCAAATCGGAGCTTAAGGGTTTAATTGAAAGGGAAAAAAATCAGTTATTCGAATCTTAACTGTGCAAGCGGCTATGACCTGCGTTTTGAAACAAAATATCGCCTTGGAAAATGTCCAGTTTTTGAAATTTTGCCCGTTTTTTCGAAAGAGGTTCTTTTTTTGCAAAAATTAACCTGCAGATTTTGAAGTTGATAGTTCATTTAAACTAACATGGTGCTAAGATATCCCTGCGTACTCCGTTTTACCCTGCGTTTTGTAAAAAAAGCTGATATGGACTTCAGAAAAATTCGGTTTTACTTTTAACTGTTTTTATAGAAATTTCGTCAGCAAAGGCTATTTCCATGCTTTAGTAGAGAAAAGTTTATGGATATAGGAAAAGTTCAATTTTTTGATCGATTTTTGGAATCGTTTTTACTTTGTTTTCGAAAACTACCCAATCAACTCGAGATAAATACTTCAATTGAAAAAACGAGACGTACTTTTTTCTTTTAGATTAGAGGTTAATCTGTTAATCCCCTACTGAACCAGAGAAACACTAGGGCTTAACGTAAATCTATGAAATTTTGAAAATCACGCGTTTTTGTATCAGTACTATATATGATTTAAAATATTAGAACAGGTAGATCTATCGTTAGCTGGGTCACTAGTTTTCTATCAAGCGACCGTGGCGCAGATGCGAGGACATGGGGATCCTAATCACCAGGTCGGATTTTCTCATCCGGAACAATTGAATCGTTTTTTTGGTCGAATATTTGCTGCATAACATTGCCAATTTGATAGAAATGGTAGCTGCTTTATTGGTGGATAGTGTTAGTAAAATTACAAGCGGTCGTTGAACAGATGTGAGAAAATGATTCTCTTAATCCCAAACAAAACTTTTAAGGTGTACTTCTGATCGTTTCCCATTTTCACTTTGTTTTGCCTGTTTAGAGCTCGTTTTTGCCTCTGCCTCAAAAATTATTCTAACACTGTCAGTTTAATTGACGAGAAAGTTTATATCAGAATAATCTTTTTACAGAGACTAAAAAGTTTGAGAAGGGTAAAATTTTTTTGAAGAGATTAATCTTTTTGCTTGATAGCCAAAAAATGTCATTTCTACTATAATAACTCCAAATCTTGGTATAAAAGCAAATTTCAAACGTAAGGAGACTTAACGCTTTTACATTTTTGGTGGGCTGTGAAGACGTTTCCTTTGATTGAACTTTTCTTATCAATTTATGTGACAGTTTTATAATAATTTTTTCGTAACTAAAAAAGCCAAAAGAACAATTTTCAAATTTTGTTCGTTTTGTCCGCATTATTTAAATCAGCTCTGTTTTACTGTGATTTAACATTTTGTTTTTAGACCAAGCAAGAAAAACCTTTCTTTTCAATAATTAGTTTCGAGTGGTTTTCAAAACTCAAGAAAAAACTGTTTTCCACAAATAATAACTTTGTTACAAGGAAAGATGATTTCCAATGTATTCGATTTGCCAAATCAAAAAAGTTCATTCATTCATCGTATTTGTCTCAGCCCAAATTCAGTCTTGGAAAGATGATTTACAATTTCTTAACTTTTTTGTCATTCATCATCTTTCCTTGACTGAATTTGGGCTGAGGCATATTAGATGAATGAATGAACTTTTTTGATTTGGCAAATCGTTCATTCATCGTATATGCCTCAGCCCAAATTCAGTCTTATGTTTTCTACAGGATTGTGTAAACTAGACGAGAGCTATCACGAGATCAGTAATGACAACAAAGTCAGTGTGCTTAAAGAGGCGAAGGCAGACTTCGTGAGTGCGAAGGCGGAGATAGTGAGCCAATTAACAGAAGATCAAATCAGACTCTATAAGTCACAACAAGCACTCGAAGATTCACTCAGGTAAGCGATTCTCATCATTGTAATTGTCTGCCATGCTCATCATTGGAATTAGTTTTGTTCTTCTCAACTTTTCCTCCCAACTTTGAGTTTGATTTTCGAGCAAAGAGTTCAACGTTGTCACAGTGTAATTACACATGCGAGCATTGTGTCATAATACGTGTCCACTGAAGTGCGGTATGTATTTAGACAACCGCGTATTCATACTCGTCAGTATTTAGACAAAAACTGTATGAACCAATCAGAATCGAGATAAGACATAAATAATCCAAAATAGATAATAATTATTCATTAATTTCTTCCTTGTCTCGATTCTGATTGGTTAAAACAGTATTTGTCTAAATACTCGCGTGTCTGAATACGCGCTTGTCTAAATACTGCTACGTAACCGTGTCCACTGTTTTCTAAATCGGCCGCGAATAAACGAGCTCGTTTTAATGGCATATTTGCAGAAGCATTGGCAATATAATAGCATGTGTATAAGCCATCGAGACAGTCACATATAATTTCAGAACATTAAAATATTGCGTCGAAGTTAGTTCTCGTGGCACGTAATTTAAAAATCAGACAATTAGCGGAAAATTGGTGGAGCGATTTGTCCTAATAACGATTAGCGACTGTGGTTTCCCTTGATGATGTCAAACTACTAAGTTGGACTGTTCAATCGGCCCAAAAATAGTTTTTCAGCTCCCACCAAATTTGGTGAAGGTACTATTCTCAAGAGCTTAAAACTCTGAACTTAAAAGAGCTCCCACTAGCATTTGGAGACATAGGTTGGTCATCACTAAATTGGTCATCAGTTGTACAATTACTCTTGGTGCACGATGAAAAATCATTAAATCGGTTTCGAAACTCGGTTGCGAAATTGAGATTGACAAAACTTCAGATGTAAAACTTGAGGTGGAAATTAAAATTGAGCTTATTTAGTGATAAGACAGGAAAAAAGCTCACATATTTTCTTAAAACGTTTGAGTCCGATCTTTCTTATTGCGAATTCTCATAGTGTTTTTTCACTTGCGAGAGCAAGTCACTTGTAACCGGGAACTATATATTTTCCGGTAAATAACTTATCTTACAAAGTTTTTTTGCAAACATGCTCAATTCTGCTTATATGCTCAATTTCTTGAACAATCGAATAAAATTACCTCTTAGTTAATTTGAGGTAGTAATTTGTTTTTTATCGAATGCTTACAGAAAAGTGTTGATTGTTACAGTAATGAACGTAGTGAGACCTTTTGTCTCCACAATAGGTATTGCTGATTTTGTTTTCAGGAAAAGTCTTACATTTGTTCACGCTCAGTTTTGATTTTTCGCGGTTTGACTTGATTTCATTGTTAAAAGGAAGGCAAACTCCACTATCGAACAGTAAAAGTAAAAAGGTCACAAAAAACGTGATCGACTTCTGATTTCGAAATTGAAAATTAATGATCAGATTTCCCAGCGAAATAAATGTCTTACGAATTGATTCAGTTTTCTCAAATTGGGTTAATTTTAACAAAAAAAGTGTCCATCATAAATTGTTCTACAAATTCAAAGAGCTTCAAGGCCTTCTATTTTTTTCTTCAAATTTCAAAAGTTGAAGGCTCTTGAAAAAACAAGTTAGTTTTTTTTCAGTTTTCTTGCTTTCATTACTCTTTTCCAATTGTTTTCGGATTTATGGTTTTCGTCCTATTTTTTGTCGGCTAATTTTCCGTTTTTTACCGAATGTAATTTATATTATCTGGTGCGCTATTCAAGCAGCTTTTTCATAAAGCTGGGTTTTTTATAATTTGAATCAACAATGTTTATTATAATCTGGGGCGGATCTAGGATTTTTTTTGAGGAGGGAAGGCAGATTTTCAAATTTTTTAAAAGTTTTATCGACTTTTGTTTAGTTCGACCAAATTGATTTCCGAGCTCTCCCAAAGCACTTGTTTTAACCAAATTTAGTGCACCGCAGGCATAATTTTAAAAGACAGGCCAAAATAACTTTTTTTCGCATTTTTTGAACATTTTTGACAAAAAATGTGCGTTTTTTTTTGCGACGCTCCCCCCTCAAAATTAGTATATTGGCGCCAAGGCGACTTCAGAAAATTTTTAGGGTCCGTCGCCAAAAATAGATATCTCAAAACGATACAAAGGGGGTTCCATAAATTTACCAACTAAGATGTTAAATAATTTGATCGATTTTTTTGATCGATTTTTTTTTGGTTAAATGGGTCTAACTTATTTCATATCGGCTGAGTCAATTTATGTTGCTCAGTTTCATTGCCAATTTTTTTAAATGCTTTTTCCTGTTTCAGGAGGGATAGACCGGAAAAAAGTGGATCTTAAAAAATTTAGCTTGAATTTTTTTTATGAATATAGTTTCCTTTTCGGCTTAACAAGGACCGACCCAAGATGGGTCGTAGTTGCCGATCGGTCATTGATTTTCGATAATTGCGAAGAGGCTTTCAATGAACTTCATTCGAGACAAAGTATGTGACTTTTGTAGATATAGTTTTTTTTACTTATAGTAATTTTTTAGCTCAGTTTTTCCAAAAAAAATTCTATTTAGTATCTTTTATTGCAATGTTTTAATACACAGTAATGCAATGTTTTAATTGTATGCAATCTATTAATTATATTGCAATTTAGTAATGAAATGTAGTCATTGTATCGCAAATGTCGCGAAGCTCTGCTTCGCCTCTGTGTTAAACCTTAAAAACCATTCGTATTTTTCGGTCATCGAAAAATCAAATTCTAAAACGTTGCATGTTTTTGGTGTTGTTTTTTTAAACAATTGGTCAATTTAAACAGAAGCTTAAACTTTTCTAGAAGCATAGAGGTTCAAATTTTTGTGCAAAACTGTTATTTGATATTGGTTCTATGTGCTGTTTTTACTCAATCGAAGTCTATAATGCGTTCAGTTCTTTCGTCCATTGAAAGTTCAACGGGAAACTCACGGATAGTTGTGACTTATTATTGAATGGATCCATTGTTTTCTTGATTGTTCTCTTGTTTTTGAAGTTGGTCCTCAAGGTAGATAGCTTTTAATGTGTTGTTAGGTGTCCGAAACAGCTATTTGGCCAGTCTCTCCACACGTACATATTGAATCTGGTGAAGAGGGGGAGATACAAGGAGGCAGACAATGTGAAGAAAGATTTCAAAATGTCAGACAAGAAGTACTGGTGGATCAAGGTCAGTTATATAGTATAAATGCTTTATATTATCGACATCATCAGCTGGTGTCTGTTCGAAATCTTTCATCGGCAGTCTATTCAAAAGCCCCATTTAAGTGCTTTGCCGCTCGTAGAAAAGTTATGATAGGTTATCTTCTTTTTGAGTTCTTTTGCGCTCTAATTCTGCTATATTTTAAAACTGACTGATTTTTAGATAGAGAATTTAGAATTGTCTTCAACAGCTGAAAGGAAATACTGGTATATAATAATGGTTCATACAGCTAAAAATGGTATATAGTAGGTGCATTTGTATCGGGCGGAACTATAAAATAGGGTTTTAGTTGCAGTTATCCAGTTCTAGTTGCATTTGCTGAGTTCTAGTGCCAGATAGAGAATTGGGTCTGCTTTCTGGTTGTCAAAAAGGAACGCGTGTTCCTGACAAAGGTTAAGAATCGGTGGTTACCGACGCTGAAAAAAAAGGTTGCAAAATGAGCAGTTTTTGTCATCTGGGTATCAAAATAATTAAGTTGGACCTTGGGTGCCTGAAACAGAGTCCTGATCTGAACTCAAGTTATGATTTACGTGGGCTCTGTCTTCATTGTAGATAGAAGGTCTGGCCGCTCGGGAGGACTTCAGTGAGCTGGACAAGTTCTCCAAGTCGAAGAAGAGTCCGATTGGGTATGGGCCCTTTGTTGAACTGTGTCTCAAGTATGGCCGCAGACAGGAGGCAGACAGATATCTCCAGAGAATCCCCACCGAGGAGAGAGTCATGTGTGAGTGAAATGCTCAATTTCACATCTTAACTGACTAAATTTCCCAAGTTTTACTGTGACTTTGAAATATACTTAATTTTTAGGTTTCCTTCAGATCCTTTCATCACACCACGCACAAAAAAACAAGATTAATTTGAACGACCACTTGAGACAAAATTATGTATTTTTTTTAAGATTATGGTCGGAAGATTCTAATCACAGCAACTCGTGTTGTCTTGATTTACCCTTGCGATAAGCAAGGGTTTTGCAATCGGGTGCTAGACTTTTTTCTCGTAAATAAGTTTGTTCACTGCTGGCGATTTTGTTTTGATCATAGGTAAGGAAGAAATTAGTTAATAGTCCGTAAGTTTTAAAGAATTCAGCGTAGTACGTTGAAATTGTGGCGACATAATCTGGTAACCAATCATTCTATCCTAACTCGCTTCCATTTTAGCTCGTGGTTGATCTCGAGAATAATCTGTCATGTGATTTAGCAAGCAAATTATTCTTATCGCTTGGAGTTATTATTGTCGAATGAAATTTTGACTCCTAGCTGGCCAATTACTTGATTGTTAATAAGTCCCCCATTCGATTTTGATGCCATTTGAATTGTTGACAAGGGGATGTAGCTCAAATGGTAGAGCGCTCGCTTAGCATGCGAGAGGTACGGGGATCGATGCCCCGCATCTCCAGTTGGCACATGGTTTGGTAATTTTGCCTCATTTATTTGCTGCTCATATCAAAGTCATTTATGCCAGAAGTTTTCCGGTGTTAATTCAACATATTATAAGGCTCAAATTTACTTTTTCGCGGTTTGACTCGTGATTTCTTCAGCTCATTTCCTTTGTTAAAAGAAGGCAAACGCCACTATCGTACAGCACGAAAGTAAAGGTTCTGCGTTTTGTAGCGTACATCAGAATGGGTGACCTTGAAAAGGCGGCCGAGCAGGCATTCGTGAACAAGAGTGTGGAGGAGTTGAACAGAGTGGCAGACAGAGTCACAGTCGCACTCTCAGCAGCCGCTTCTCCCTCAGCATCATCAGGCACTGCTGGATCCTCAACATCGGCAGGCACTGCAGTGGGAGTAGTTAGCGCACAGAATCTAAGGGCATTGATGACCAGAATACAAGTCAATGTGGAGAAACTCAACAGCTGAGACGATGACAGTCATTGAATACTGATGTTGCAGTAGGTTGCAAAACAAGTTATAAGTCCGTCATGACTATTTAAACTGCTGCTATATTATGTTAATATGCGTCTGTCATGTTTTCAGGCGAACAACTGGTGCTACAGTCAAAACTCATGAGTCGTAGAAATTGCAAAAGTACGGTAGAAAATGCCCGTGAAAAGGGCACGGATATTATTGTTGCAACAAGAATTGTCGTTAAGCCCAATATTTAACACAAAATTTGTTGAATAGATTAGGTATAAATAGTTTCATGCTCAGCAAATTTCTATTTTGTTTACTGAAATTTTACTTGATTAAAAATGTATATTCCTTATCCTGTTTTCAATCACGAAGCTATAAATTGAAAATCTAAAGTTGAAAAGCCGAATAATCGCGTATCTCTTTTTATAGTCCAATTTTGTGTGGTGTTGAAAACTGTTTCGCGATTTTTTTCGGAGTTGAAATATCGCGTCACATTAACTTCAAAACGATTAAATATGTTATTTTGAGTTAATGAACGTAGTTCAGACTCTTTCATAGGTGATGATGAATTTTTTTCAGGCCCAAACGCCTTGAAATTTTTTTAGGCTCAAACTTATTTTTCGCTGTTTGACTTGATTTGTTTTTAAGTTTAGTTAATTTAATAAAAGGAAGACAAACTCCACTATCGAACAGCAAAAGTGTAAAGGTCACAAAAAATGTGATCGACTTCTAGTGTCGAAAGTGAGTTCATTTTTCAGATTTCCCAGCGGAATAAAAAATTTATCTATTGATCTAGTTTCATCAAATTGCGTTAATTTAATCAGAAAAGTTTGTTCCATAAATTGTTCGAGTAATTCAAAAAGCTTATAAGTGATCAATGTTTTACTTAAAAATTCGAAAGTTGTGATATTTTCCAAAAATATGCCATTTTTTTTCTCTACTTGTGTTCATTGACTCTTTTCCAACTGTATGTTTGCTATGTTCACACTTGCGATAAGTAAGGGTGGTGAAACCGGGTACCATACTTTTTCCTTGTGAAAAATTTTGTTTACAGAAACATCAATGAATTAGAAATGATAAGTTAACTCATCTCAGGTATTACGTGCATCATTACGCTTGCAATTAGCAAGCGTTATTAAATCGGAATGTTATTTTTTTTTCGGTTTAACAACTAGTTAATAAGAAAATCAGTTGAATCAATTATGGGTGGGTAGTAGCTGGGTGGGTACTAAGTTAGTATTAACTACTGGGTGGGTGGTGTTACTACAGGTTCATTTTTTCTGCGCAACTGGTCTGCTCAAAGATTGTCGGCCTTGTTTCCTCTTCATAAAATTGTTCAGTTTCTAATTTGAATTTCAGAAGTCTTGCTGTGCATATTTGCCTAGATTTTCTGTTCGATAAAAACAGCCATTATAAAAATGTTTATGATTGGGTTTTTTATTATTTTTTTGAGACGCTTTGGAAAAGTTTATCACTTACCGCAAATTTAATTTTTTTTCTCAAAAATCCTACAACGATTTTCAAAAAAAGGTTATCCATAGAAAGACTGCGCACACCTTGTGTGCCTGCATACTCCCCTGGTCTCCTTTTGCTTTTGCTTTACCACTCAGCCCTCGAAAAAAGTCTGTGGGGGGAATATTTGACCGAAATTTTTGATTGTTCTCAAAAACTAACCCTCCAAATCTGAGATTTTTGTTTAAATGAAGAGAGCGGGTTTGAAAAGCTTCCCTCCACAAGCGGCTTAGCCTAAACTTTTAAAACATAAAATTATGGCCCCGGAATAGTGAAATTTTTAATTTTTTTCTACCATTTCAACACAAGCAAAGCTTCTGTTATAGTATAAACTCTCTTTTTTTTCCAACTTGAGTCGCAAGTATTGTTGAAATGCAATTATTGCGACAAAATGTGTGCATTTTGAAAGTGTTCATTTTGATCAATAACCAGCTATTAAGTACAGCCAATGCTAAGGACATTAACACAGACAATTGTATTACAAATAGCACTTTAGCTTTAAGGTATCATGGATCTGTAGCGTACAGATCCATGATACCTTAAAGCTAAAGTGCTATTTGTAATACAATTGTCTGTGTTAATGTCCTTAGCATTGGCTGTACTTAATAGCTGGTTATTGATCAAAATGAACACTTTCAAAATGCACACATTTTGTCGCAATAATTCATTGGAAGGAGAACCGCAGCAAAGCAAGAGGGTTCAAACGTTGGGAGGGTTGCATGTTTTTAATGAACTTTTTGGCATACTACTTGAAATGCGTCCGCTCTATAAAATGAGGCTTGTTAGTTGGTAAATTTTTTTTTTTCAAGTTGACTGGTAATGCGTCATAATTGGCTTACGTCACTTTGTCATAATGCAGACTCATAATTGACGTAAGTCACTTAAGAAATTTAGTAGACTCAACGTTTTACTCTCTCAGTTTTTCCACTAGCTTTATCGGTCATATTTTTGCTTGTGTATGCGAATTGCAACTTCGCCTGTGTTTGAATTTTATTTTGATTCTTCTCGAAAACTTCCCAACCTTATTTGTGGGTTCAATGGAGATAACGGATAGTGGGCAGCTTCTGTGCTTTAGCGGTCTTTCACAATGTTTTGCACCAAAATTTCTCGTCGGAAAAATCAAAGTTTTGTTTTTCAGACCGTTTTTTGAAATATTTGACTTTTATACCCTAAACTAGCCTGCCAAACCTGGATTTTTGGGTTCAATTAAAATAACATGTGGGGCAATTCTGTTCTACATAAGCGGTTACGCGAAATTTTTTTGAAATAAAAAGCTAGGATTCTCGGAAACATCAATTATCTGATTTGTTGACCGTTTTTTGGACTTTTCTCGATAACTATTCTGCCAAACGTGATATCATAGATTAAATCGATACAACAGGATTTGGATGCTTGCCTTTGCATTTTGAAATGCCTAATTTTTTTGAAAAAGTAAAAGCTTTCAAATATGTGAAAAGGTTGACACTTCGACTGTTTTTGGAAGTTTTTTTGACTTCACTCGAAAATTATCGTGCCAATTCTCGGGTTAAGTGTTCAATCGAGAAACCCAATTTTGATAATCTGTTTCACTTAGTCGGCGATGGCTGCTTTTACCAGAAAAAAATCCAATTTCAAAAAGTTATTGAATATTGACAGTTTTTTAGAAACTTTTTAAGCTTCTTAAAAACTACCCTATCAAATCTAAGAGGTAAATTCAATCGAAAGAAGCGGTTGCGCGCGTTTTTCCAGCAGAAGCGGCTAATTTTGTTCATTTTTTTTGATGAATGAAATTCATCAAAAAATGCAGAAATCTCTTTTGGAAAATGCAGAAATCTCAAATTTTCCTCTTCATTTAATTTAGTTGCACGACGATTCTTTTTTTCTTACCTAAGTCGCAAATATTGGTGCCACTTGTTCAGCTTTCTGATAGCATGTGCTTTGAAATTTGATTAGCAATAATTTAACACAGTTCAAGCATTTCTCATTGTTCAAATGAACCGAAAAGAGCTATTTGCTGCAAATATCAGATCAATCATAAAAATTGGATTTCAGAAATTTTTTCAACCTAATATATCTCGCAATATTTTTGAAATGTTTATTTTATATATGATTTGGCTTTATGTTTTCGATTTTTTTCCATGCAAATTCAGCGTGGATGCCTTCAGTTTGTTATATTCCAAATGATTACATGCCAAGTTGTGACTATTTGTAGTTGGTGCCTTTTTTGCTGCATCGTATTGGCAATTTATTAGCATATATAGCTGCTCCATTCGTGACTAGTGTTTGTAGGTTGTTAGGCGTTCGTGGCCGAGCGGGCAGGGCGTGAGAATCCAAATCTTGAGGTCGCAGGTTCGACTCCGATTCGTATCAAAGTTTTACTAGTTCGAAGCTAATTTCTATTTTTTCTTTTTTCATTTTAAAAAGCTGCGTTTTTGTCGTGTTCTTGTTGGTGTTTGCGAAACGCAGCTTCGCATCTGCGTTTATTTGCTTTAAAGCTCCTTGATTGGTATGCTGCGTTTTTACGCTTGCGATTAACAAGCGTTATCAAATCGGAATATTCTTTGCAGAATGTGAATATAGATTTAAAACAAGGACTTTGAGAGCTTTATAGCTCAAAGGTTTCCATAGCAATTTTTTTCGGGTGAACGGGCGTTCCAAATTGTTGTCGACTTAGATGCCGCTCAAACAAATTTTTGAGCAGTTATTCTTCGCCATGTTGTTTTTCGGGAGATTTTTTTTTTTTCAAATTGAATTTCTTTGAGAAAAATATTTGGAAACTTTAATAAATGTTATTTCATTTTTTTTCGACTTTGTTGCTGCCATTTACTTTTCTTTCTGCTGGATGGTAATGCTATGTTTGTTTGGTATCGCAATTGGCGCGATGCTCTGCTTCGCATCTGTGTAAAAATAATTACATTTCATTTTAGAAGTAAGTACGTAGGTTTTCAATTGTTTGCTTGATTTTGCTTTTTACATTTCAGCGCTTTTTTTAATTGTCAAAATGAAATTGTAAATAATTCTTGTTTTTCGATTTAGTTTCAAGTTCTAATTCTGTTTCATTTATCAAAGGGAAGGGCCATTACACATTCAATAACAGAAGTGGGTTTGGTGGTAAAAATAGAGCTACACCATTATTTAAAAATCGATTTTTGTTTCTGTTGCTGCTCGCTGTTTTCCTTCTGCAGTAGCAAGACAAGCGTTCTGAGATCACAAACTAATGTGACTAGATGTATTGCACAGGTAACTTCCCTGTTTTGAATGTGACACAAGCCTACGAAAATGGCAAGTGTAGTATCAAATGTTGGGTTTTATTCGTGGTTCTTTTCGTCATAACTGTCTTTCATTGAAAGGTTACAGTGAACGGTTCATAACCGCAGTCAGGGGTCAGGAAACGTCTGTCTGATGAAATTTGAACGCTAGATAGTTTTTTATGCTAAAGGGTGCTTCGAAATTACCAAACATTTTACGTACCATAAATAATCATCGCAATGGGTTGAGTGGTATCTGATATTGAAGGCCTTTCGGTCGAACGGCATTAAAAGTTTTCGAAAAACTTTTCCCAGTGTCCGAGTAAAACCGATTTGAAATTTTTGATTTTCGTCCAAATTCGAGCGTGTCAAAAACGAGCAAGCACGTTTATTTATGCTAAATTTAGGCCGTTTACATTAGCTTATTAATGCTCATTTTTAATTTTACTCGAGTAGATTTAGCTTTTGGAAATTTACATGCCATTTTAGGAATGAACAAATTCAAAAAAAGTTGCAAAAAAAATTGAATGATTTTTTATTTGTTTTTCATGTTAATTTTCTTCAAAAAAACTGTGGCACTGTTTGCCTATATTACTAGGAATTTCGAATATGCTCAAAGTATAGTTTTTCGTCAGATCCTTTTTACACACCACGCAGAAAAAAACTACATCAAAAAATTATTTTGCTGAAAATTTTCATTTTTCATTATTATTCCTTAAAAAAACCTAATCGATCTAGCCCAATTTACTAACTTTATACCCGTTCGTATAGTTCTCTCATCACGCACTAAAACATACACTAAGTTGGAGAAAAATAAATCTTCGTTTTTTTTTTAGTTTTCATGAATGTGGTCATATGCTGTGATAGCCCAAAAAACTTACTCCAAGAGTTTTGTGAGAAAAATGCACCTGAAGATTAAAAAATGTCATTATTTTCACTTGATAAGGCTATTTTGAAAGGGCTATTTTGAAACCTGATGTTTTTCTCTGATGTGCAGTTGTTTAATCTGTTTTTTTAAATGCTGTCTAGATAGCTGGTGTAGGTGCAACTAAATTTTCCTCGCCATTCTCGAGTGCTCTAGTTCTTACACTTGCCAGAGCAAATCTCTTCTGATCTGGTTCCAGACTTTTTTACTGTAAACTTTTTTCTTAACATATCTGTTGAACTTCATCAACTTGCAGGCTCCTCTCCTTTTTTTCAAGAGGCATGGTGGTTGCCTTTGCATCCTAAGGTCTTGGGCTTGAGACCCGGTCGGGTCGGTCCATGTTTTTTCAATAAGCTATGAAATTGAAAATTGTTCTCCGGGAAAAGTTGAATTGTCGACTTTTCGCTTGTCTGTCTAATTTTAGTCCGCCTAATTTCCAAAGCATGGATTTTTTTCTGGTTCAAAGGCTTGGAACTTTTGGGTTATTTTGTGCTGTTTAGTCCGTTTTTGTTCTTGGTGGCTATTAAGAGTCACTGAACGTAGTGAAGACTCTTATATAAGTCTTGGTGATTTTTGTAATAGTTTTTTTTCCAGGAAAAAGTCTAGATGCCCTTATACTTACAGATATGCTTTTAGATCCTTTAATGAATTTACGAATGCACCTCGATAAATTTGCGCTCTTTGAGTCAATTCAATTGCATCTGCTAAAACGTTAGGTAATTGTGTTCTCCAATTACAAAAGTTGGAGCTGTGCGAAAAAGCGTTAACGACTTTTTAGTTTCGAAAGAGGGTTTTGGTTTTCAGATTTTCCTGCGAAATCAGAACTTTATCTATTACTCAAGTTTTCTAAAATTGATTTAGTTTTATCAAAAAAATGTCAAGAATAAATTCCTCTTTCTTGGGAATGTTTTTTTAAATTCTGAAATCCGAAAGTTAAAAGTTTTTTTTTTCAAAAGTCAGTCAGTTTTTTTTTCTGTTTCCTGGCGTTCATTGACTCTTTTACAACTGTCTCTATTCGAACTGACGTTCTGTCCTCAATCGACAAAGAGTTACCCATTTTTGTGATTTTTTTTCACGATTAACAAAGGATTGGCGAGTTGTTGCTAAGTGTCTTCTGTTAGGTAAATTTCCAACTGAGCCAATTTTCAACTCAGCGACTTTAAATATTTTATATTTTCTTGAAGTTTATTTCCTATACATTTGTTTCATTCTAGTGGCCGAGAATGAAAAGAAGCTTACGTTAAAAGATTTTGAGAACTCAAAGAGCTTTGAGGTGACAGAAGTTATTCCTTGAAACTTTTCAGTTCTCAGACCTTTTTATCACTGTTACAACTGCCTCTTAATCAATATCATTTTTAGCTAAAAAAGACAAATTGAATAATATTGTTATTGAAGTTTAAGTAAGAGCACACCTCTAAAAGATCGAAATTCGGTTTTATTTTTATCGCGTTCTCTATGTTCTCTGGGCCAGATTTCATTTTTATAAAGTCAGTTTCTTCAAATATAATCTTGTTTTGTAATTGAATTATGAGTTTCTATGCGATAAATCTACAAAAGGTTGAACAGTTACTAAAAACGCAATTGAGTATTTTCTACCTTTTAAGCGTCGATTTTTTGTCGAGACAACGGTCAAAATCCGTTTTCAGAGCGTTAAATTAGGTGTACACTATTCTCGAAATCATTGCATGCATACGTGAATGCAAAAACAAAAAGCAACTGTGTTTGTCTTATTTGTTCTAACGGAGGTGTGAGGTGATTCAAGTCTTCGCAATTGGTGTTCGCCTTTGTTGAGTTTGATATTATTCAGATTGAGCTATGTGGTCGATAATTTTGTCTATTTTTTGAGAGAGTGCATCCAGAAAATCGATTTTTCTCCTGCCTCCACTCTATGACCTTGAACGCATGTGGAGCTTAAAAAAAGCTGTAGCGAAATGATTCTCAACGCAATATCAATCGTCAGTATGCGGCTATTGGGTAAGCAAGCATTTTAACTATACTTCAGAATAAATGAAATACTTTGAATCTGCATGGTAAAATCTACAATAATTTGAAACTACCCTTTTGTTTTAAATATAATAAGTGGGTCTTGAAAAAAAGAAAGTATGAAAGATGGTTCCCGCGATTTTGAAGCAAAGTTACAAAATACACTTGAACAAATTCTCACCGTGTCCAGGGTGATTTTGAGCACAAACTAATTTCTTCAGGGGTGCATCTAAGTATTAGGGACTCAGCCATCATTCGTTCGCCATCGTTTTCAATTCAGTTTGCGTATTTACCAGTTGTTTATTTATTTAATGCAGGCGTGTTACTCTTACTAGCAGCATGTTGTTGCCCGTGTCTATCCCTGCGGTGCTACAACTATACCGAAGATTCTGGGTCTGAGCCGGACAGTGTTTTGGTAGTTTGTCCAGCTGGACTTGTATGCATGGCGATAGTACGAGTAGAAGTTCTCGAGAAGTATAATCCGTCCCTCAAAAATATCACTAATACTGCTGATTGGGGAACGAAGAGTAAAGTTGGAAAAGAAGAGCCGAAATTGCTTGTAACTCGAGACAGCATTTATCACCAGAGTAAGTGATTTTGGTATAAATGTTACTATTTCAGAACGCTTTTTAAAATTTAAAAGCTAGTTTCAGGTAAAAAAGATCTCTCAAGGTTGATTGAAGCTTTAAGATAGCATGCAAACTTTGTTCTAAAGATAGATATATTAATTAATTTTTTCTGTTCCAACTTTTTGCAACTTTGTATAGGCATGCAATATCGATGTTTCAGACAACCTTGAGACATGCTGTCTGTCCGTAAAAGCAGCTCTTTCATGCAAAGTTTTGCCAAAATGTACAGTTGCAGAAAGTTGGAAAAGAGAAAATTAATTAAAAAGAGGAAATGATCTAATTCCGAATTTTTTTATGGAAAAGCTAATTATTCAGACAGAAAATATGTCTCAAGGCCATCTATAAATTGAAGTTTGCAAGCAAAGATTGCTCAAAATTGGCAGATTGCTCTTTTTTATTATTTCTGTCTGTTCCAAATTTTTGCTGCTGATATAATTAGTTGCAAAAAGTTCGGACAGACAGAAATAATTAAAAAGAGCAACTGTCTAGACATCAACGGAAATTAAAACTGAAATAAACATAACGTAGAAAGTTCATAAAGCAGAGTTACGGATCTACTTAACAATCCCCCTTTCAAGAAAGGGGAGGAGATCGTTACTAAGGTTACTTGCAGCAAACTGTCGACCAATCAGAATGCAGCAAAATCCGAACTTACATACAATGCTCTTGTGCGAAATTACTGTTTTTACTTACAGGGGTGGAGATTCTTTAGTAGATACAATAGGGGGATTGTTAAGTAGATCCGAGTTTCGCTCAAAACCTATAACCACGGCGGGCAATTGCATCCGAAGCGTCGAAATATTTTATAGTAAAACCTGGATGCTCATAGCAGTATTTAAAAATTAGGCTTGCATAATCATCGGATAATTGACAATCTCGCATTGTGAATTTGGTCTGACAAAAAATTCAAGGTTGTTCGGCTTCAGATTTTGCATGCAAAAAAGCGTCGAAAATCACTGATTGCTCATTTTTATTAATTCTGTCTGTCCGAACTTTTTGCTACTAATTATAATTTTGAAAAGTTTTGTTGTCTGAAAAATCAAAGTTGCATGCAAAACTCTGTGAAAATGGCAATATTGCTCTGTTTTTTAATAAGTCTGTCTATTCGAGCTTTTTGCAACTCTATGCAGACCAAATTTGTCTCTCAAGGTTGTCTGAGAAATAAAAGTTGCATGCAAAACCCTTTGAAAATGGAAAGTTTGCTCTGTTTTTTAATAAGTCTGTCTATTCGAGCTTTTGGCAACTGTATAGGTCGATTCTTCTTTTCAAGTAATTTTGTCTGTTCCAGTATTTTGATACGTATTAAACTGATTTTATGGATCTTGGGCACAGATTTTTTTTTTTGGTTAATGGCAAGCTCGAAATGGGAAGTTGAGTATTTACAGGTATGAGCGTGTCTCAATTGTTTAGTGGAATAAGCATGCAATGAAACGAAACAACTACAAACAACAAATTCCATGCCTAGAAAAACTTAAAACTTTTAGCAAACCGATTCGCGCTATCATTTAACTTCAAATATTTCAATATTTCAGTGCTGGATAAGCTTAAACTTAAATTTTTAGCAAATTGAAACAGTCTATGAAACAACTTTAAAAATTTCAACGTTTCATCGGTTGAATGGCTTCAATAGAAAATATTTTTCGTTATCTGATTCCATTCCAAAAATAACTTACTATTCAAAAAATAACTTAAAATAACAGAACCAGTTCGCTTTATGAAATAACTTGAAATAGTTCAAAGTTTCATCGTTTCAATAGCTCGCTAAGAAAATTTTTATTATTTCACCAACTGATAAGCCCAATGAAACATTCTGAAATTCTTGAATAGCTTCCAAAGGACAATGATTCGGCCGATGAACCACCTTGAAGTTTTTCAGAATTTTGTCGCTTGAATTGTTTTAATAGAAAAACTTCGCCGTCCGATTTGTTCGATAAAAGAACTTGAAGTATTTCAAAGTTTGATAGCGTCAATAGCTTTCTGAGAAAAACGTTTTTCGCGAACCTATTCGTTCTATGAAATTCAAAACTTTTCAAACCGGTTTACGATGTGGCTTAACTTGAAATAGTTCGAAGTCGTATTGCTTGAATAGCTTGATCGAAACGACCTAATTTTTGCGAGCCGATTGATGATTGGAGACGGGCTTGCTAGTTTATTTCTTAAATATTTTTAGAATTGATACTTCGACTTAGTATATCTTTATCTTTAATGTAAAAAAGAGAAGCCGGTTGCTCTGCAAATGGCAGAGAAAGTTCAGATCTCAGTTATTTCAAAGCAAACCCGAAAAAACTTTAATTCCTTTTTTCAAAGTTCTTTTTTCCAGATTATTCATTTTTTCAAATTTAGGCTGTCAGAAGAAAATGTTGCTGTTACCGTCTCACAACCCCATCTCACAATTGCAAGCCCGTCTAAATTCCATGCAAATAAAAGATTCAAGCCACTCTGTTTTGAAGCGACAATCCGTGACACTCTACCCGATTAATCGATAGAACAAAAACTTGACCGATTTTGAAAATCTACAAACTTTTTATAGCCGATATTCTTGCAACCGGCTTCTTTTTCAGATTAAAGATATACTTAGGTGATATATGTATGAAACATGTGGACCTCATTTTATACCAATATCGTTTTCCGATTGCGAAATGCGATTGATCGGGAGCGGTGGTGAAGTTGTTGCGTCTCCGACTTTCAATCGATAGGTCGGATGTTCGAGGCCCACCGTGATCCGTGCTCGTTGCTTGAGGCTGAGGAAACATAACCCAGCCCAGAAAAATAAACAAAAAAATTGTAGTTCCTAACCAGGGTCACAACTGCAGTTCTCTGTGAAGAGCTGAACTGCTAGTATGTTTTCCCCACGAATAAACCGTCTACAGTTTCATTAGTGGAAGACTTCTTTAAGATGTGCCATTAATTTTATAGCATTTTTAGGTCCATACTTATTGTATCTCTCTGTTTAGTGTGTTTTACAACTCAATTATATAAGTGTTCGAATCCTTACTCTGCATGCCAGCGGATTAATAATTCGAAGTTAGAACTTGCCCTCTGCTGCTGCGACCATGGATTGGATGGCTGCAATAGGGCCAGCAATATTGTCATCTACGCCAGTCAGTTAAAAATTCCCGCCAAACCAAAAGGTTAGCCACTTTTTTTGTTCTTGCCAGATATGTAAACTGAAATTCTACGAAGGGTGTAAAAATTCTTTAGACCTTTTCAATAGTTGCTAAAATCTGGGCTGGATTTTTTCATGTTTTTTTAAAATCAAAACTCGCATGGTTCAACTTATGAGAAAGTGTAGAAGAGCCAAGTAAACTTTTTAAGCTTCACTAAACTAATGCTTGATTATGCAGCAAAGCAGAGATTTTGATCATACCCCCAGGAATCCCTCACAGGCGAATCCTATGGGTCTCTTGTTGAGTAAGTATCTCAATTAACGCTTACCCGTAGCAGTGATGATACCTATTCATGACATGCATTGTCAATCACGTGGTTTATTGAAATTTTATTGTAATTTCATGCAAAAATGGATTAATAGAATAGAATTAAGAGAGTTGAGCTCATTTAAGACAGCCATAGCTCAAGTTAACTTTCAATAATTAACATCCGGGTGACGTCTTTTGCCAGTTAACTAAAAACAGCTCCGTCTTCAAACCGAGCATGGAGAAATCGTTTTTTTTTTCAAAATCGTTTTTTTGTCTTCCAGATGCTGAAGGAGGTTCGGGTGACCGAACAGAAGGTGGCAGGGGATTGGGTCACTTGGGACTGGTGCTTCTGGTGACACTGGTTCCGGCTACCCTGATAGGAGTAGTAGCTGTGCTCACTTTCCTCTTCACATCCTGCAAATATACTAAACTCATCCATCTGGTAATTAAACAGGCATTAAATGAACAAGTTGTTGTCATGATCTGCCAACTTCGTTTCAAGGCACAAGTTTTGTTTCATAACATGGCTTAAGTTAACTTATTGAAGAACGATAAGGAATACCAAGAACATCAAATAAGTGAAGTAATCGCGAGTTTCATGTAGTAGTGTTTATTAGTGTTAACAAAAAGTATTTTTGACATGGCTTACAATTTTTCGAATTCATCGAGATTGCGGTTTTTTGGGTTTGATAAAAAGTAAGTGTTTGCTGATTCAGTTATAATTCTCGATTAGTTGCCGTTCGATTTTTTTAGCAGTAGTTAAAAAATAAAAGGCAAAGCTGTCAAATTATTTTATCAGATGAATCTATTATATATCTAGATGCGTTTGCCTGTCTCCCCTTGTTTAAGCTATATCAAATGGCTTATATTTAAGCTTTCAGAAACAAACGATAATTTGCATGTTTAAACTTCATCATATGCAATACTAAAGAAACATTTCAGTCCAAGACAAGGCAGTGTAAAGCAAGGTAGCACAGGGCGAGAAGGGTCAAGGCAGAGCATGGCGAGCAGAAGCAAGGCCGGGTAAAGCAGCGCAAGGCGGGGCAGGGCGAGGATGGAAAAGAAAGGTAGGGTAGTGCAACGCAGGGTAGGGCAGCGCAAGGCAAAGAACTTTAGAAAAAAGAGGGGCAGCGCAAGTGGAAGGCAGGATAGCGCAGCGCATGGCACGGCAGAACGAGGTGAGGCAAGGCAACTACGCATTGACGGCATTGAAGAGTTTCCCAATAAATCTCCCGCTGAATTAATTGACTGTGAACATGCTGCTGTCTCGGCAGTTTTCGATCACTCATCATAAACAACCCAAATCAGCGATGTTACACGCCTAGGCAAGCTCAACAAAGATAAAGGCAGACCCCGCACCCTTCTCGTGACACTGAACAGTGCTTACGATGTTCGAAAAATCCTCGTCAAATCTTTATACCTCAAGCTTCGAAAAACGTGTTTTGATTTCACGCGGGCTCAGCAAGGCCGACCGTGAGTAAGAGAATGCGTGCCTGTACAAGCGACGGGAGCTGCTGTTAAGTGGAACCAATTCTTCACGTCTCAAATTGCGATCTTTAAAGCTGTACTTTGACGACAACCCAGTCGATGTGAGTGATGCTAAACTTGATGATAATAATATTGGCAGCAGAACCGATTGACTACAGTCCCTGCAAGTTCTGGTTTTTAACGTTCGCAGTCTTGTCTCAATTGACAGAAGAACTTCTTTCGCGAGTTCCGTTATTTTATCCATGCCAAACATTCTCTGCCTCTCTGAAACCTGGTTAACGTCCGATTTCAATGACGACGAATGTCAATTTCCTCAGTTTTGTTTATATCGCAGTGAACGACCGGCACACAACGGAGTTTGCAATCATGGTGGTGTTCTCATTGGTATAGCCAGTTGCCTTCTACATTCCCCATTACGGCTAAATGTAAATGATAATATGGACGTAATAGCTTGTCGAGTTACCCTCACAAGCTTCTCTTCGCTCTTGGTTTGCATCTACAATCTTCCTGCTAATAGTTCGTATCGATGGAGCTTAGATAAATGGGAATCTATCTTTCCAGAACTCACGAGAGTTAAATTACCTGTAGACTTAATCTTGATAACTGGTGATGCCAACCTGCCTGGAAATGATTGGGACATACTCAGTTCTGACGATGCTTATGAATCGCATATCGTTAGGCTTCTCGACAGATTCAACCTGTTGCAAGTAGTTGATTTCAACACAACGTCTTCGAAGTTGCTAGATGTTTTTGCTGTCTCCTCTCCAGACCCTATCATCTCAGTGAGCATTGATGATACTGTCCTTAGTTCCTCTACGTTTTCTGATCAGAATCCCATCTCTATCGCAATTTCCGTGTCATACAAAGAACCAGTTTTAGCACCTATGCAGCGCTTCAGCTTTGCACATGCCGACTATGCTAGTCTCTCCGCCTTGATATCCGAGTTTCCTCTCGTTGGAAAGTGCTGGTCGAATCCGAATGTGTTGCTGGAGGAATGGCATTTATGGTTGCGTGCACTGATGTTACGCTGTATTCCTTTCAAGAAGTCGTCACCAGAATCGGCCCACCTGATGAAGTAACTGACAATTTTAAAGAAGAAAGGCGCGGTCAAACCATCATGTTCCATTTTTCAGAAGATACAGAACTCGGAAGCAGTTTTGTCAAATGTTCTCCAAACTGACAAAGCCGATTACGAGTTCGAGAAATGCATATTTGACTCATTATTTGTGTTTGTGTTCGAGAAATGCATATTTGATTCATTATTTGTGTTTGTGTACGATCGCATTCCTTCATGTCAATTTGGCTTCCAGAAGCGGAAATCGCCTGTATTACAACTTCTGATCTTCATTGACAACATCTATAAAGGCGTGTTGAACACTGATAATGTTGTTGAAACAGTGTATTTAGACTTCTCAAAAGCCTTTGACAAAATCAATCACAGTATTCTTATCCAGAAGCTTCAGCATCTAGGCGTAAGAGGAAGTCTGCTGAAAATAATCAAGAGTTATTTATCTGGTCGGAAACAATATGTTCTGATATGCGAAGCAACATCCGGTTTCCTGTTAGTCACTAGTGGAGTTCCCCAAGGATCCATCATTGGTCCTATTTTATTTCTAATCTACGTGATCGACATAACCGATGGCTTGTTGTCTCTACCCTTCTTATTCGCTGATGATACCAAGTTACTGTCAATTCGCGATAAAAGCTGTACTTCACTTCTCCAACAAGATCTACGACTCTTGGAAACGTGGTGCGACTCGAACGATATGGTTTTCAACATCGATAAGTGTCACCTCCTCTCCTTCACGAAAAACTGCCCCAGCTCTCTGATTTTGTATGACGAAGAACTGAAAACTGTCTCGCCCGAAAAAGACCTCGGAATTATCATTTCGACCAGTTTGAAGTGGAGCGAGCATATCACATATATCTGAGGCAAATCCAATCCAGTGCTCTCAATGTTGAAGAGAAATTCTACTAGACGTCTCCACTGGCACCAAAGATTGAACATGTACAAGTCGATGGTGCTTCCCATTCTTTCTTATGGCTGTTGCGTCTGGAGTCCATCAAAAGCGGACATGAAAAGTCTCGAACAGGTGCGACGAAGAGCGACTGACTGGATCTTAGAATATCCTGAGTTGAAATACAAGCAGCGTCTCTATGCTCTCAATATTCTTCCTTTATCCATATATTACCAGATCTGTGACCTCCTGATGCTCTCCCAACTTCTGAGCAGAAAATACAATGTGTCGCTAAATAACCACCTGACTCCCTATATTCAAAATTACACAAGAATTTCAGAGAAGCAGATATTCAATCTACCAGATATGAAGCTCGAGACCGGCCGTGGTAACTTTTGGTAAAGGACCCCGCGATTATTTAACAAACTACAACCCTACGTCAATGTTCTTGACGACGTGGGCCTCAAGAAAAGACTCGTTGCTTTTTTTCTGGAGCTGGTTTGACACAAACTTTGATATAAACAAACCATGTACTTGGATTTTCGCTTGCAGCTGCGCAAACTGCCGGGAAACTTATCCCGAAATATGAAAGTTTTTGCAATATTCGTGAATCCGTTATCATTTTTTTCTCCAGTGTTGGTTGATTAAGAAATTTGCAATGGATTGATACTCTGATAAATCCAATTTTTGGTTATGCTTGGAAAAGGTGTAATGAGTACAAGTTTTGATGATTTGAGTGGTCATGTGTTGAGTTGTCTGACGTGGATCACCCTCCTATAGAAGTTTTTGAATAGAATCTCGGGATCGCGCATGTACTAGTTGAACAAGATGACAGGACTATAGAATGACCTAAAAAGACTCTACAATCAGACGAGGTTTTCCTTAATTGTAATCTCAGTCAATTGAGTGTTAAAGCTAAGGAATTTTTGCAAAAGTACTGTCTGATTGCATTCCGTTCAAAGTGAAAATTGTGAGGGAATTCAAGTTTGAAATTATTGTTCCAACGATTTGAAAAATGCTGAGGAAATTTGTATTCGGGTGTGTTTTAATTTTATTTGTCTTGTTTTCTACGCAAAATCAGGTAACACAGTTAGTCAAAATGAAGACAAACTGCACTACCGAGCAGAATGGGCGCAAAAACGTAATCGAATTCTGTTTTTAAAACGGCATTTAAATTTCTAGGTTTTCCAGAGAAGTAACAAAAATAAATATTGATCCAGTGTTCTCGAATTGGGTGATCCAGTTTTTTCAAATTGACTTAATTGTCAAATGTGAGTTTCTTCTGGTGTACATTCCGTCCTGCTTAAAACTACGAATATAATGCGTATATACTCAAGAAAATAGCAGACCCGTTAAAAATGTTGCAGAAATTTGGGTTAGACCCCAAATGCTTTGTATACTTAACAATTCGAAAAAATATTCCTTTTCAGAAATGCTGCAATGAATCAAAATTTTACTCAAAAAGAGAATATAAAGGAATTGTTTGTTGTCATAAAGTGGGCATATACCTTCTTTGCTGTTTTTTTTAGCTTTGTATCTGATATTATTTTTTTAGCTTTGTAACCTTTTTCTCCCGACACTGAGAAATGTTTCGAAGATAATTCAATGTCGATAGCTTTGAATAGAAAGGGCTTTATTATGATGCATCAGTCCACCCCATCTGAAGTCTATATGGGGCACTTTTTTGCAGAAAATGAAACACATCTGAAGACAGTTTCTGCCCATTTTAAGAGTTCTGAACAACAAGTACTAAATCGCTCGTGGAGGCAATATTTTTCTCTTATATTCTTCGTAGCGTCCGTAGTAATCCAGGGTTATAACGCAGCTCTCGCTTCTTTTGTTTTGCCTTTACGAGAATGAGTGCTCTAATTTTATTCATCTGTTTGAACTTGTGAGCATTGAGTCAACTTTTTTCGAATCCATTTGTCAATAAAAGTGCTTGTTTTGTTCAACTGGTGTGTGCTTAAGGGTTGTCGACTTAGTGGTCAAATCGCTGTTTTTTTCGTGGCTTAAGAAACGTCCACTTTGTTTTTCCGAGAGGCACTTGAAAGTTAAAAAAAATGTATAAAGTATTTTTTGGGCCAACTGTTGTCTGCTCAAATTTTGTCGTTTTAGTGGCCACATCACTGATTCTGCTTGCGCCGCTAGCAACTTTGGCTGCATAAGCAAGTGCAAGTGTTGTTCATTTCAGTTTCAGGGACGGATTTGGAAGATATAAATTTTTTTTAGAAAATCTTTTTTTTTCCGTTTCAACTGGCGTGTACACAAAGATTGTCGGCTTAGTGGCCAAATCACTGTTGTTTTGATGCTCTAAGCAAATTTCACTGTAGTTTTTCAGAGAGGCTTGAAAGATTTTGAAAACTTTTTTTTTGGCTGAACTTGTGTCTGCTCAAAGGTTGTCAGTTTTGTTTCCTCTTCGTAAGCTTTGTTCTGCTGCTAAAATAATATTCAATTGTCTGGAATGTTTGCCTAGAAATTCTCATATCGAGACAAACGAATTTTTTCTATATTTGATGTATCGTAAGACGTAGCTCCGCTTCGTCTGTGTTAAATTCTATTTTTTCTTGTGAAGACTCTTATATAGGTCGTGATGATTATTTTTTATCGTTCACGCCAGTTTTTTTTTTCAGCATTTTGACTCATGGTTTATGTATCCTTAGCTATTGCAAGGATAAGCAAGCTTTTAACTGGGTACTATACTTTTTTCTCCGTAATTAACTTTGGTCACAGAATAGCACAGAATAATAAATTTTGGAATGATAAATATCAAGATATGATCATTTTCTTGAAAATTCAATTGAAAGTACCTCATATATCTAGTCAAGGTAATAGATTGGGGCAGTAAAAATTTTTTCCATTAATTTTATTGAAAAAGTTTTGATTTTTCGGATTCGTGGTTTTTGGCCTAGTTCAATTTCTGTTTTTTCTTAAATGTCATTTCTATTATCTGGTACTTACTTTGATCAACCTTATTTGTAAAGCAGGGATTTTTTTTATGTTATTTGTTTAAATTGAAAGTTCTGTATTTTGTCATTGTACCATGTTTGATTATGAACAACTTTTTTTTAAACTTTTTTTTCGACTAATTGGTTTCAGCTGATGTTGCATCGGCTTAGTCAACTTATATTTTGTAATTTTGACGGAAAAAATTCCTGTTCGACAAAAGAAGGTAATATAAAAATGTATGGGGTTGAGTTTTTTGTTTTTAATTTTTTGAGACATTTTCGAAATTTTTTCCAAATTTCAACAAAATTTTGTGTTCAGTAGAAAACTACTGTGCCGAAATTCAAAAATAAGGCGTATTAATTAAAAGAGTACGTACTCTGTGTGTCTATAATACCCTTATCTATGTCTTACTTTACCCTACTGTCGACAGCCTTCGAAAAAGTATGTGGGGGGAATATTTGACCCATTATTTTGGATTTTTTTCGGTTTTTCAAAAACTACTCTCCCAAATCTGAAATTTTTAGTTCAATGGATAGAACGCATTGTAGGAACCTCACCTGCATAGAGGACTACGCCCATTTTTTTTACAGAAAGTTAGGGCCCTCGGAGACGTCAATAATTGGTTTTTGTACCGTCTTTTGACTTTTTTTCGACAATTGGTTCAATCGAAACAGCAGATTTTGTGAATCTCTTCTGCTCAAGTGGCTACGCCCAATTGTTTTTTTTTACACAAAAAGGTATTATTCTCAGAACAGTCAATATTTTAATTCTCTGATTTTTTTATTTTTGACTTTTATTGAAATCCGGTTTTGGTAATGGTCACGACCTACATTTCGGAAGGTTTTTGAACTTTTGACCGATTTTTTTAAGGAAATGTTTGATTTTCATAGACACTATCCTATCAAGTTTGATTATTTCAATCGAAAGAACCGGTTGCGAGAATTTTTCTTACAGCGGCGGCTCCTTATTTTTTGTGAGGAAAATTTCATGTATTTGGAAAGGTTGCAATTTCTTAAAAAATTTTTAGTAGAGAAGAAACTAAGGTTTCGGGCAAAGTCCAATTTTTGAATTTACCCATTTCATCCCGCATAAGTAAAACAAATTCTAAAATTATCAAACAGTTAACTCGAAGTTTGACTGGCCCCTAGTTTTCTTTTAATTGATTATACGAACGGTTAGGATCCGTTAGTTTTTTTCAACATTTATTTTTTTAACTATTATGTTTTTTCTTCAAATGTTTTGCTGTATGGCAATTAATGCGAAGCTCAGCTTCGCTTCGTGTTTTTAGTTCAATTTACCTTGATTTGTTAAAATGAGGACAAATCGCACTCTACGAATACGAGAGCGAAAATAGCGCAAAAAAAATGTCAACGTCATTTAGCTTTGAAATGGAATTTATTTTTAGGTTTTCCAGCGCAGTAATGAATTTAATTTTGATCCAAATGTATCGAATTGGGTTAGTTTTATCAATAAAGTGTCAATCATAAATTGTTCCTGAAATTCAATAGTTTTAATGCCATATATTTTTTCTTTAAGCTCGAAACTTTAAAATTTTGAAAAACAATCATTTTTTCATTCTCTTTGCATTTATTGACAATTTCCATCTGGCTGTTGGCTAGACTTTTGATTTTTGAGAGATTTTTTTTCTTTCTGGTGAATCTTAGGTTCTTTTTCAACAGCTTGTGAAATAGCTTTGCTTAACTACTTTTGCTTTTGAACCAGAACTGTAAAAATGTACATAAGCTTAAGTATGGGGTTCACACTGGAAGAATTTCTGTTATATGTAGATGTAATGTGCTCAATTTTCACTGTATGTTCAGTTGCGCGGCACTAGTGATCAGTTGAACTCGACTAATTCTAACCGTGGCTGCATGCTGGCCAGTGGCGACGCAAACAGGGACAAAGGCGAGGCTAATATGTACCATGAGGGAGCAACATGTCACCTTACTCGCGAAGCTGCAGGCTCTTCGGGTACAAGTACACACCTTTAATTTTTTTCCAAGTTTGTTTTGCCAATTGTATCCTGGTTTATTAGTTAAAAGTTCTGTGGCGCCTTTTTTTTCTTGTTGCAGAACTAAAAATCAATAAAATCGAAAATTGTTTTGAATCATTCCGAAAAGCAAAAGCAACTTCCGCCATGTCTGTTTATTTTATTTATACAACACTTTGACTTAGTTTTCATTTATCCAACAAAAACACGAAACAAGGTAGAAATGAGTTGCTTTCATGTAGGCTTCGCGTGCGCATTTTTTCAATCTTGTGCCGAAAACTGATTTTTGTTGCGATTTATTATAGTAGGCTTAAGATTGCCACAAATCAGTTGTTCAAAATTGGGAAAAATTGCTTGAAATCTGGTGTAATTTGCTTTATCTAGGTACAGGGACAGATGGTAATGCAATGGGCTTGTTGAATGAAAACCAGAAGTTTCTACGGTCTCTAGATCTCTCAGAGTGCCCTCTGATTGGTCAGGGCAAATTCGGCAGTGTGTACAAACTGCAGCACAGCTTCATGGGCGAAAAACAAGTGGCTGTGAAAGTGTTCTACGTATCAGTTAGTCACACTATTTTTTTACATCCACTGGCTTGCGTTGGATTTTTTCCACAGGGGCTGGGTTTTCGCAAAACTAGTATTCAATCTAAATTTGAGGGACTGTCTTCCAAATATTGATTATACTTACACAAGCAAAGCTGGTGTAATAGTATGAACCCTCTTGTTTTCCAACCTAAGTCGCAAGTATTAGTGTTCATTTTGAAAGCGTTCATTTTGATCAATAACCAGCTACTAAGTACAGCCAATGTTAAGGGTATTCACACAGACTATCATATTACAAATAGCACTTTAGCTTATAGGTATCATGGATCTGTAGCGTAGAGGTACGGAAGGAGACTCGCAACAAAATAACAGGGTTCAAACCTGGGCAGGTTCGGATGTTTTTAATGAACTTTTTCGGAATTTGTATACTAGGTAAATTGCGTCCGCTCTATAAGATAAGGCATGCTGGCTGGTAATTTTTTTTTCTAATTGACTGGTACTGCTAATGCTTCGTAATTGGCTCGCGTAACTTAGCAATTATGTAGACACATAATTGGCGTGCGTCACTTGTAGACTCAAAGTTTTACTCTTTCAGTTTTTCCCAGTAGCGTTATCGGTCATATTTTTGCTTGTGTACGCGAAGTGCAACTTCGCCTCTGTGTTAAAAAATTACGAAAGGGCGACATTTAGCAAAAATTATCGTGGAAATTAATAATATTGCTCGGTTGGCGATTTATTGTTTTCGTTCCGACAACTGGAAAAGGGCGGGAAATATTTGAGGATTAGGTTATGTTTCGTCCGCTCAACTGTAGTATGTCAACGAAAACCCATAGGATTTTAAATGTGGTATCATTTTACAGCCCTATTAGTCGTGGTTTAGATTTTAAAATTTGTCTTGAGTGTCGAAACTTAGTAGTTTGATTATTTCACGTATTAGACTAATATAGTGGAAAGTTGATGTGGCTGACCCCCTCGCTTAATTCGAATTTTTACTACAGTTTTAAACGTTTTTTTTTTTTAGTATTTTTACCTGTCATTTTTGCCATTTTTTACCTAGTTCAAATGTTTTTCTTTTTAGAATTGATTTTTCTCCCATAAGAGAGCTAGCGAGCAGATTGCTATAGTATTACTCAATTTTTTTACAACCAAAGTAGTAAATACATTGATTTCGGTGTCTCTTTTGCTTTAATTACGATCTGTTCTCCGCTTTATTAGTAGGCTAGTCTTGGCTGGCCGTTTTTCGAGCGGCCGTATCGCAGATGGAAGGACCTGAGATTCCTAATTCACTACTCGTACTTTCAATGCCGAGCTTAGAATAAGTGAACTAGCATCTGTAGCTGCTTAATTGTTGGCTAGTATTAGGAATGTTACAATGGCTCATGGCGCAGATGCGAGAGCGTGAGACTCAAAATATCGAGATCGCAGATTCAAATCCGGCTCATTGCTTCTTATATTTACTTTTCTTATTTAGCTTTTTAAAGCTGTTTTTTTTGTCTTTTTCTCGCTTGTGTAAATCAATCTGGTTGAAACATTGTTTAAATGACTTGCATAGTATCTGACTCGCATAGTTATCTTCGTTGTTTCAACAATACCACTGAGAGTGACCGGAAGGAATTATTGAGGTACCTTTGAGCTTCGGAGGGAATCCAATGCGATATCTTATAAACGCTCTCTTTGGATTCATAAAACTAATAGCACTTCCGACTCAAATTTAGGAAAAGAATGGACTACTCATGTCAGCAACCTTTTTTTTACCTACAAATCTTTGAGCGGCTGATTTATAGGTTTTGAGGGTATACTATAATTTTCCAGATTTAGCATCACTTTTAAGTGCTAAAAAACAAAGCTCAGGAAATTATTTAGGCCAGGTGTTTGTGCGATGTTTTTAAAATTAATGAACGTAGTGAAGACTCTTTTATAGGTTTTGCTGATTTTTTTCAGGAAAAAGTCTTTAAATTATATTGCAATTAGGTATGATGCATTTTTTGAGTTTAATTGAAATGCATCTGCTGAAAGTGGCCTAAATAGCACCCTCCAAATACGAACGTGGAAATGGCGCGAAAAAACTTGAGCGATTTCTAGTTTCGAAAGTGAATTTACTTAATAGATTTCTAGCAGAATAAAAACTTCAAGTGTTGATCCAGTTTTCTCAAGTTGGGTTAATGTTATCAAAAAAGCACCAATCATAAATCCCTCTAGAAATTCAAAGAGCTTAAAGGACATCTATTTTTTTCTTTGAAATTAGATTTAATCAAAAATTGCTACACTCTCAAGTATTAAGACTGGAATTGAGAAATTACACATCCCAATAAGAAAAGTTCAAATTGATTTCAAATAAATCGAAATATATATAGTTTCAAAAGTGTTCTTTAACTTCTAGAATTGCCAATCGATAAATATTCGATCGATAAATACTTACATATCGATCAAGTTTTCTCTAAATTGGTTATTTTTTATCAAAAAAGCGTCAAAGAGCACAAGATGATCTATTAATTCATAGAACTTCAAAGTTGAGAAGTGCCTAAAAATGATCACCCAATTTATTTTCGGTTGCTTTGCGTTGTTGAACTTTTTTCCAGCCGTTTTTTTTCGATACGTTTTTGAAACGATGAGAGTGTTAGAAACATTCCGTGCTTCTTGCATAGCAACTGTCTACTCTTGCTCTCGTGTATTTCCAGGACAGGGCTTCGTGGCAAAAAGAGGTGGACATCTTTTCCCTGGCTGAAGTGCAACATCACCTGGGAGTGCTCCGCTTCCTGGCTGCAGACGACAGAGGAGTGGACGGATGCTGGCTGGTCACTCAGTACCACCCCAGGGGATCCCTCTACGACTACCTGTCATCACATCACGCCATATCTCCACAGGCTATAATACGCGTAGCCGGTAAGTCATCTCAACTCACGCTTCTGATTTCAAAAGAAGACTTGGCTTCCTTTATTAGGTTTGTGCAATTATTTCGATTTTACGGCAAATTTTGTTTCTAGGTTTGAAATATATTAGTAGCTGTAATTTTTTTAAACACAAGAAGAAGAAGTTAAATTTGAATCTAGATGAAAACCAAAATTTTCCATGGTCTAAAAACTTAACAATTAATTTATATTTATTTTTGATTTATTACTATTGAGAGATAAATATGTAATTTTCGAGTAAATTGGTTAACCCGAAGCATATGTAAAAAGGCAGTTAGCAGTTATAAGGCTTCTGTTTTAGTTAGCAGTTATAAGCTACTGCTAGTGCGTGCAATATACTGGTTTATGTGTTTGTGTGTGGTTTATGTGTAATGTGCAGAGTCTTTCTTCGGTGGGCTGGCATTTCTGCACGACGGGATGAGTGGGGGAGTGCGGGTGGCCCACCGCGACATCAAGAGCAGAAATATGCTGCTGAAGGAGGACTTCACCTGCTGCATTTGTGACTTCGGACTGGCCATGCAGCTCAGACCAGACCAGGAGATAGGCTACACTCACAGTCAGGTAAATCCACCCCTAATCCACTTGCAAATTTGATATATAACTTGATATATAACAAGAAATATTAGTCAGATTTACAGGCAGTATAGAAATTGAACATTTTTGGCCAAAGACAATTAATTAAATAATTGCCCAAAAACCATCATGTAAGAAAACTTGAATGATTTCCAAGACAGTTTTCCGTTAGATATTTGGCTTGGGTCCCTCTTAAATTGGCTCTGAAAAAAAATAATTTAGATTCATGAACGTAGTTAATACACTCTTACATAGCTCTTTTTGAAGAAAAGTTTGTTTACGCTAAAATTTGATTTTTCGCGCTTTGAAGCTTTTAAAATTCGCTTCAATTCCTTTGCTGAAAGGAAGACAAACTCCACTGTCGAACAGCACAAGTTTCAAGGTCACGAAAAATGTGATCGACTTCTAGTTTCGAAAATGAAATTTAATTTCAATTATTTCGTTTTTTTTTTTCAATTATTTTTTTTTTGAAATTTTTGAAAATATAGTTTTTTCTTGTTTCATTTCCTTCATGACTTTTTTCTAACTGTCTCTTGGCTATGTTTCATTTTTTTTTGACTTGGAGTCAATTATTTTTGCGAAAAGTTGCTCCCATAATTGGTAATCATTATGCAGTAAAATACCTTTGCTAAAAATATATTTTTAGCGTATTGGATATTGCAGAAAACGGTGTAAACGAAATTATTTGTTCTGTAATGCTAATAGAGTTTTGCTGATGGTCTGTAATCACGCAAAAAACGAAGAGGTAGAATTCTACGATCGAATAATAAACTTGCCGATGATTGAAATTTGGACAATCTGTAACGGCCCAGCTGAGTTGTTTTTCAGAAGTAATGTAGATTTTCTGATATCTTATTCAGAATCACAGTTGAATATTGTGAATGGCTGGGTATTAGACAATTTATTAGCATTGGTCTGATAGTTTGATATCCTGTGTCATTGTTAATGGCTGGGTACTAGACAATTTGTTAGCATTGGTCTCATTGTTTGATGTCCTGTGCCATTTTTTTAAAACTGATTATGTTAGTTGGTTATTAATATGGATGATTAAACTTCCTTAACTTCCCTTATAATTTGATCCCAACTTGAAATATTTGTTGTTCTGATTTGAAGTATTGTAGATTGAAATAGCTCAATAAATAAGCGATATTTTTTCCAAACTCTCTACACTGGCTAGTTTTTTTACCGTTACTCAGCAGTATGTTATCATCTGCAAATTGTATAGTCTCACAATTGACCGTTTTGTACATATCATTGACATATAAATCTAATAAAAGGGGTCCTAGAGCTGTATCTTAAGCAACTCATCTTACGACCGTGAGCCAATCTGATTTTTTTCCATTTGAGACATTTTTATGATTTCTGCTTGTCAGATAACTCTGAAGGTTTATGGCAGTTGAGTCAAAGCCTAAGGATTCCAATTTTTCTAAAAGAAAATTATGATCAATTGAGTCGAAAGCCTTAGATAAATGAAGAAGATCACCAGTTACCTGCGTCTTTGTATCGACTTTTGATCTAATTTTTTGTTTAAAACAAGAGCATTATTTGGTCGAAAACCTTTTTTTCGAAATCCAAATTGATGTTTACAAAATTTCAGTATGTGAGATAAGAAAATTGCAGATCCGCTACTTTCGTTACTTATTCATCCATTCAACGTTCATTTTATAGATTGTTAGTAAGCTATAAGGTTAGAACGCTAAAAACTAAGTTACTCTTTATGGGCTAATTTTAAACTATTTTCAAATTGATTTTTTGACTGGCTACCATTGGTAAACAATCCCCAACCCCTTCGTTTACAGGCCATTTTTTGAAAATTTAAATTATGGGTCGTTTTGAAAAACTGATTTTTACCTTTCATTTTTTTCAAACCATTCGAATTTTTGTTTTCATGTACAAAATAAGGTTTAAGGGGTGTTAAAAACAGTAATCTAGTTATATTGTTCTTATTGGTTGAAGGATTGTGCAATGATTTATCGACCGTTAATGAGTATAAAACATCTCTAGCTTTTAAAGCGAGGCTGGTCGATATAATTAGCCTTTGTTAGCTCTGGGGGTTTTCAATTGTCAATGAATGTAGTGAAGGCAGTTATATATAGGTCGTGATGATTTTTTCAGAAAAAGTCTACAATTTTTTCACACCAATTTTGATCTTATGCTCTTTTTGATTTAATTTTTAAAATAATTCAAGTTCTTTTGCTCTCCAATTACGAAAGAGAAAAAGGCGTAAAATTATGATCGACTTTTATTTTCGAAAGTTATTTTGAATTTCAGATTTCCCATCAATATGATAAGCTTATATATTGTTTCTCTTTTCTCAAATTGGGTTAGTTTTCTCTAAATAAAATGTTTCTGATTATCAATTAGTGAAATATTTAAATTCAAAGAGCATTTAGGCCATATATTTCTTTTTTTGAAGCTCGAAAGTTAAAAAAACATTCGAAAAACTCATTGACATTTTTCCTACTGGCGGTTGGCTTGGTTCACAATTTGGTTTTCCAAGTAATTTTTTTTATTCATGTCGAACTGTCAATGTTGAATATGAATTATGTTAGGTCAAAGCTGAAATATATTTGTGTGTGTGTGTGTGTGTGTGTGTGTGTGTGTGTGCGTGCGTGTGTGTGTGTCGTTTGAACGGCAATAAAATGTAGATTTTTTAAAAATAAATTTTTCGTGTCGGTTGTGGTGTAAAATTTCAAAGTTGTAAAAATTGATCGCTCCAACTATTATTAGACAACAATTTTTTATGGCTTGTTTTGTTTTCGGTTCAATTGGCTGTTTTTTCATCTGAGTGGCCGCTCGGTAAACAAAAGTTTTCAACTATTTTTTTTGCATTTTGATTTCTCCCATTTTTTATTCACTAGCTTGCAATGCTACGCTTGCTCATTATTGCATGCGATACAAATCTTCGCCTCGCCTCTATGTAAATAGTTGATTTGTACAACCCGATTTTCAGATCGTTAGTTTAGTTTTTTCAACGCATGTTTTTTGCAACACAACATTTTGGTGTCATTGGCCTTGAAAAAGTATACCTTGAATGAAAAACGTAAGAATTTTAAATTTTTTTTAAAAATTTTTAAATAGGGATGGGAACTTGCTTCGCTACTTGCACAGCGGACTGCGGTCGAATAGTAGACAACTTTTATTTCATACCCGTCAAAAAGTAGACAAATTCAAGTATTGGCAAATCAGAGTGGAGAAAGAAAAACAACCTCATGCAAGAATAAAAAAATATTTATTTCGTACTTTTGTTCGATTCTGATTGGTTAATACAGATTTTGTCTATTTCATGACGTGTATACTTGATGGTTTGTCTATTTTTTTGTTTAGCTTTGCACAGCGACCGGCTTTCATTGTTGGAGTTTGCTTAATGTTACCTGCTTGTCGAATGTGGCTATTCTTGGGAAATCCTGCGGCCGATTTTTTTAAAACTCATAATACGACAATTAAAATGAAACTTTTTGAATTAGTTTTTTATCGGGGTGGAAATTCTTTAACAGGTACTGTGGAAGGAATTTATAACAAAATTGTTTGCGTTCCTGTTCTTGAGATTTTAGACACTTCAAGTTTGGAAGTCTTATTTGTAATATTTTGTTTCAACTTTCTAATTGTTTGTACTCGAAGTGGTTTTCTTTTTTTTTAAATCCAATTTTTTAACTAGCTGTTCTTTACGGTAGTTTTTTATACCATTTGAAAATTTTAGAGGTCCTACGCTGATCTTTGGCGGTTTCACGGGTATTGACCTTTGTAAAATTGCCACTAGGGGATAATTAACGCACGAGATCTATCGTGCTATTAATGCGTAAGCGGCGGTTTTTCTTTTCATTTGGTTAACTAGCACCCGGCCAAGCTCCTGTTGTTCAATCATGAGTCTTTTTTCTTCGGGGTGAGAGATGCCATCCATTTTGCCGCAGCCGGTCGGTCTCACTTTGAGGCGGATGACACTGCGACCCCTCCAACTGGAAGCGGCGATAGAATCCGACTGGAAAGTCATTCCAAGTTGATCTTATTGATACAAGCCGCTCAATACGCTTTTTTACAGGGTGTGTGCGGGGGAGATTTATTTCGATTTTTTTTTAATTCGTCAAGTTTTTGAATCAAATTGTTTCAAAGAGCAGTCGGAACCTTCGGGGTTTGCCCTGATATGGGGGGTCTTGTTCTGTTCCTTGCTGCAAATAGATTCAGATGTTCTGAATGAGCATTAGAGCTATTCCATGACACCAGTTTTTGCCAACAGAAAATCGACGTCTCTAGCCAATATTAGTTCTAATAACCGTTCTTCACTGTCCTTTATTTATGATTTGGAGAAAAAAATTCTTTCTTTTTATAGGTTATTAATAAACTTTTCCAAGTCGTTTTGAGTGCACATCCAGATCCAACGAGAGTAAATTAAAATGAGGAACGCTTTTCCAGTTAAAGTTCCGAATTTTCAGAAACATTATTTTCTCGAAGTATATAAATTTTCCATATTTTTAATGAGCAATGAACGTAGTGAGTACTCTTGTATAGGTCTGCTAATTTTTTTTCAGGAAAAAGTCTTAAAATTTGTTTTTCATTGATTAGTCTATGCATGCTTACCACTCTTTTTGATTGTGATTGGTATGGTATATTCACAAGTCTAAGTTGTTAGCCCAGTTCATTAACTGTTGACATTGTGCGACCAAATTCTTTTCCAACTATTAGCATACCAAACAAAAGCAATATTGAAAATGCTAAACAAAATAAGCAGAGTGGTCTCTAGGTAATATAATATTTTTTGGTCATCGATATTTCCCCCATTTGATTGTGCCCCTAATGTTAGCTTCAATAAGGGGATGTAGCTCAGATGGTAGAGCGCTCGCTTAGCATGCGAGAGGTACGGGGATGGATGCACCTCATCTCCAAGTCGTAGGATTTTATGATGCACGAAGTACGAAATTAGTCCACCAATAATTACTTTCATGGAGAGTATTTCTCGGTCTCAGTTTTACCAATTCATACTGCAAAAAGCTTTTTTCTTGCTTTTGTCTCATTTTTCCCAATGTTTTTCTCGGTTTTACTTCTAAAACTTTTTCCGAAAGGTAAGGCATGTTATGTTGTACATGGAAGTTGAAACTGTGGATTCGCAACATAAGAAGCATTTGTGGAAAAGTGGGTTAGGGGTTTTATTTGGAAGCGTCTAGCGACGTACCAGTTTCCATCAGCGGTGTCAAAACGCTGATGCAAACTACCTTTCTTGCAATTGTTTATATGTTGGTTTTCCAGGTTCCTTTTTACTGGAATGGTCTTACTTGGAACTCGCTGTTTCAGGTGGGCACTCGGAGATACATGGCACCTGAGGTGTTGGAGGGCGCCATCATCTTCACAGCCGAGGCATTCCTCAGGATAGACGTGTATGCGGCTGCACTTGTCTTGTGGGAACTGCTCTCATGTACAAACATTCTGGGTCAGTACTAGAAAACCGCTTGAATTATTTGAATAAATTAGGAATACATTATCACCTGATTAGATCAGGAATTAAGAGGGGTCTTATGCACTAAACGGGTCTTATGTCCAAAATCAAATTTTCTACATCGTTAGCTGGAAATTATGCGATTAAATATGATAATTTTAGCCAATAAAATTCAAGTTAGACGGTCAGGCATTCCGATCAACCTTTCCAGCAGATAAAAATATTAGCCGAAATTTCCGAAAAGATGGAACTTTGTAAAATAATCAAATTAATTTTGAGTTACTTGTGAAACCTTGCACAGACAAGGAAAACTTAATAAAACGGCTTGACAAAAAAATTCAAATTAATAATTCGGCTAATAATTTTATCTGCTTGAAACGGCAGAATATTAATTATTTCATTTGAAATGGCAGAAAATGTCGATGGAACTTGATTGGCTAATTAGCCAATCAAATTCAACCACAATAATTTCAGTTCAAGAGATGTAGAAATAATGATTTTGGGCCGTTTAGTGCATAACACCATTAAGAGTTGTTGAAGAGTTTTTCTGTACAAATTTTTTATTTATTTAGAATTTTTTTTATTTTTGAAGAGTTTTTTTATTTGATCACAAATTTGAATATAATGTTTTTTTTTGCCAACAACGAATTTTGCAAAACAATATATAATGTAATTTAAGCTGGTATAAAAACATATCTGTATCTTTGAATTTACAAATAGCATGTGTTATTGGGTTGTAATAGCATGTTTTGTGTAGAGAAGAGATTGTACCGAGTGCCGTTTGAGGCTGAGCTCGGCCCCTCCCCCACAGCCGAGCAGATCAATGTGTTTGTGGCAGAGAGACGTCTCAGACCCACGATACCACCACAGTGCATACAGCATCCGGTTGGTGAATTTGTAATCATAACAGCATTCGGTTGCTGTGCAAGTAGCACATTTCTATTCCCTCCACTGTTATCATTCGGATGGAACTCAGTTTATTTATTCGTTATTTATGAAGTGTACCTCTAGCTAGCTCTTTTAAATGCAGGGTAGAAGTCTAGTGGGCCAATTGAGTTCCCTTTGTCTGTCCTTTCCATCTGGAGTTTTCACTTTTTGAATTTAGTTTGAGTTGATTTTATAATAAATAGCATATTTTGCTAGCACTGTTGGATAAATGAATTCTGTTTTTCTTTTTAGCATTATCATTAGTAAAAACTTAGTAGAAAAAAAAACAAGACAGCTCGTATATCAGGGCAAGCCCTGAATTTTCTGACTGTCCCTTAATTCATATCGAATAATTTTTGCGAAAAGAAATTTTTGAAAACCTAATAAACTTTGGACAATATCAAGTTGTGAAATTAATACAACCGATCCAAATAGCTAGCCTCAATTCAATTTGGAACGATTTTGTTGTGCGGGATAGTTCGCCACGCATAAAATAATTCGCGATACGCTCTCAGCAATATGAATACATTTTTCAGAGCGCGCATAATTTAGTACAGAACATGGCCGATTTGGCAATTTTCAAGCCCCCAGAACTTAACAAAAAAAATCGGATGTAAAATTTTTTTTAAAATTTGAACTCACGAAGTCGATATCGTCAATGGGGTATAGAAAATTTTCTCTTAGAGAGTGGGAACAATAATACCCAAAAATTTTGAAATTTCCTATTTTTCAGAATCTAAAAAAAACTTTGTCCCCAGATAACAATGAAAAAACAATAAATCCCCAAATTGCCATGTTCCTTTCAAGTTTTCAGATTGCTTTGTATCTATTCGCTAAGTTTGACTCTGAATAGTTAAAACTTCAGACCAGTTTTCCTCGACACTGGGACAATTTGTTTCTTGTTCCGACTTTCGTAACGAAAGTAACGGAATATTTGTGCTCGGGTGGTTTTTTTTCTTCAGCCAAATTTTAACTTTTTAACTAGCTTTTCTTAACCAGGCTTTTTAAATTTCGTCCTTTTTGGGGGTTTAAAGATTGTCATTTTGGGCAATTTGGGACAATTAACGCGCGATTTGTTTCGCGCTACTAACGCGTAAGCGGAGATTTAATCCGTCTTAGAAATCGTTCCAAATTGGTTGAAAGAAGCTTATTTGCCATAATTGATTTATTAGAAAGAGCGAAATTTATCATTTTGAACTTTATATGGCGTGTGGGGGGATGATTAGAGAAAACATTTTTTCATTTTGTTTTATAACATTTAATTTTTTCATGTTAATATTGATCCATAGATCTAGGAGGCAGTCGGAAAATTCAGCGCTTCAGTCTGATACGAGCAGTCTCGTTTGTTTAAGAGTCGAATATTATAGTTCAGACTCTTATGTAGATCGCGATGATTTTGTTTTCTTTTTTTTTCACGGCTCAAATTTTTTTTCGCTGTTTGATTTTTGATTTATTTTTAAGTTCAGTTCATTTTTATTGTTAAAGGAATGCAAATTCCACTATCAAACAGCAAAAGTGTAAAGGTCACGAAAAACGTGATCCACTTCTAGTTTCGAAAGTACAAGCTTTTGAGATTTCCCAGCGGAAGAAAATTTTACGTAATAGTTAATTCTCAAACTGGGTTAATTTTATCAAAAAAGTGCCAATTATAAATTGTGCTCGAAGTTCCCAGAGTTTTAAAGCCATGTAGTTTTATTTAGGATTTCAAGAGTTGTTTTTTTTCTGTTTCCTTGCGTTCATTGACTCTTTTTCAACTCTCTTTTAGCTATGTTTATTGGAATTCTAATCATGACCAATAGGGCTTGAGTATGATGTCACACTACGAGCTTTTCTCGAGGAAGTCAAAATCGGGCGATCAAACCCCACTTTATTCCCTAGTTTTTTTCCAGTCTTTTTCATTGACTTGGTCAGAACAAATGTTTCTGTGAACATTTTCTTCATTTTAAAATTCTCGAAAATTAATCTACAGACTGAGTGAAATCCATCTGGGAGAATTAGAACCTCGTGGCAGTCTACAATGTGTGAATGAATGAACCAATGAATGGTATGTTTTTTTTTGTGTTGAAGATGTTGAGTGTGGTGTGTGAGACAGTTGAAGAGTGTTGGGATCAGGACTGTGAAGCCAGACTGTCTGCAGTGTGTGTCCAGCAGAGACTCCACAGACTCATTCAGTCACTGTCCTCATCCTCCTCTCCTCACTCCCCCTCCTTCAACTCCCCCCAACAGCGTCTTCCTGCAGACACACTCCACCCGACTGAGCTACCGCCCCCACCCCTGACATTCCCACAACAACAACAACAGGTTAAATGATACAATAGTTGGCACAACACAGACTCAATCTAGCAATGCATAAAATGTTCATGAGATAAAGTATCAAAACCCTTGTCAAAAACTTAAATATTATGACTAAGTTTGTGGATTCTAGTAAGGGGACTGAAAAAACGACGTTTGATTTTTTGTCCTATTTTTTTACATGATAGTCATGACATGAATCGCGACACTTTTTCTGTCAAATTGTTTCTGTCACGCGTCACTTTTTCTGTCAAATTGTTTAAAATACAAGAAGTTAATCAGCATATTCAGGCTATCGACAATGCTGTTCATGTAAATACATGTTAAAATCATAAGTTGTTGTCGTTGCACCTGCTAATGTATCGTTTCTGCCGACAGCAGTCAACACAAGAACACGGGGCACAAGCAGAGTTACAGACGCCCACTGAACACCATGTGCAGATGCTGCATCCTCACAACATCCATGCCAGCTGTGTCTAGACACCGTCTTCAAGTTATGAAACACACTCAACAAAACCTGATACTGCATCAAATTTTACCCAACCTGGACATATTACAGACTCATTTTTATGCTGATACAGTATTATGACAAATATTAGAACATGAGCCCAGACAACAAAACAACTGGATTAAATGAGCAATCCATCTGAAACCCAAAAAAAAACCCAAATTCAGATTGATTATGTTGAAAACGTTTAAACATAAGCGATGGTTTTTGACAGCAAGCTGCTGCCGAAATCGAAACATATATGACTAATTAATAGCGGAGGATCTCACAAATAAAAGATGCTTACTGATTTGGAAGCAAATTTCAATGGATATTCCGAGTTGATAAAAAAAACTAAAAATACGTCATTGCAACATCGAGGAACAAGCCAGATATTTAAACTGGATATTGGTGGTGATGTAGAAGTACTCTGTGGATTAAAGAAGTTTACTGAAATGGCGATCTCGGTGAAATAGTGGTTCGATTTCATACATATGAAACAGTCGATTTTTTCTTTTACTTCGTACAAAACAAATTAAATTCATCGTCGTGCATCTTGTAGAAAACGCGAAAATTGAATTGAAATAATGAGGATGTTGATTGTCTGTGATGCGAGATGACCATATAAAACTGGTGATTGTATTATTAAATTAGGAGTTCCTGTTCTGGCAAAGTAGATAGTCATAAGTTTTCTGGCTTCCTTTTAATCATACGTTTTCTGGCTGCCTTTTAAGTCGGCAATAGATGAGAACATCGGACCATTTTGTGTTTTAAAAAGAGTGAACTACTCCGATTCAAATTGTAGCATTGTAATTGAATAAATCGGTATTGAAATTGGCCGAGTGGGCATAGGACGAAATCACTGGCGTCTGAAACTTGACCCTTAAAATAATGTCTAAATTATGACCCTTGCGTGGTTTGAATAGTTTGAAATTCATTTTTCTAAATTGGTCCGCCGAATTTAAACCGTTTATGCAAGGCCATAGCGAATGGGTACGGTGCGCGGCTGTTAATTCGAGGGTCGTGAATTGGTATCGCACTCCCCCTGTCCCCAACCCACCCCACGCCCAAGAAAGCCCTGCAGGTGGTAGAGATGAAGAGATGACGGACAATAAACAATGTATGGTCATCTCAATAAATATTGATATGATGTAGTACCTTGTACTTGTACTATTTCTTGTTTTACTCCTTGTGTTAGCTTACTAGTCGCTTTTGTTACTTAAATAAACCTGCTGTAGTAACCCTGTCCTCCTATCCATTTTCCTCTCACCTCTTCTCACCATGCAATAGCTGTCCCTTTTACACTGAGGGTGACCAAACACGGCTGAACAGGGCATCTTGCCATGACAACAAAATAGTATTAACGGAAGTAGCTTGTTAAGACTTAGAAAGGTTAACAAAGGTATTTAAAACATAAGGTTGCTAAGGTGTAATGAAAGAGTAAATTGCATAAAAAGTTCAAAAATTGTTGTCCCAAAAATTTTATTATTCTTATAATATCACTCGAAACGTACTGATCTTAAATCATAAGCCTAACTTTTGAACAATGCAGACGTTAAAAGCGAGTGTTCAAAGAAGTTTGGTTAACCCCGCTGCTTTATTTTTTTCATTTTTAAGGGAGGTATGTGACTCGGTTCAATTTATTGCTCTCCCACTTACCATTTCGCTGTGACTGTCTCAGATTATAAAAACTCTTTCTCGCTCATTTTCATCTCTCAATCCTTTCTGATTCCCGCATACATCAGTGCTTCTCTGCGCCTGTTTTCTTTTACCTAACTTAGCTCAGCCCTCCTCCTCTTTTGTTAAGATTTATTCTAATCTGTTCCGTAGTTAAATTTTGTTCACTTGTCTTTTCAAGCTCCACTTTTTCTGCTGAAACCTAAGAAATATGAGGTGGAATGAAGCAGTTTGAGCGCAAGAGACTCAGACTCGAGATTGTTTTTTATACTGTGGAAGTTGTCTAGGTTTTATAAACCCCTTTTCAATATCTAGTCAAGTTATTGAGTCAATTATGTGCGCGAGAAAGCCAGTGCGCGTGATTCTTAGTAGCAAAAAAACGACCTGAAGACACTTATTTAGGTCGTGTTTGTGGTTTCCCCCTTTTTCGTAGTATTCTTAACAGGCTTCTCGCGTGTCGATGTTTCTTCAAAAAATTTTCTAAACCAGAAAGTCTTACCGCTAGCGATTAGCAAGCGTTATCAAATCTGAGTGTAGACTTTTTTTCGGGTTAACAACTAGTTTAACAAAATCAGTTGAATCACTTGACATGCTCTTCACCAGACATGCTCTTCAGCTGTAATGCCCAATTTTATGAAAATTTGAATTTAACTACTGGCTGGGTACTAGTTAATACAGGGTAGTTTCAGGACTTGAAACTTCTTAAAGTTTTTTTTATAATAAGTTTTTTTGGTTCAACTGGTGCCTGATCAAAGATTTGTCGGCTTTGTTTCCTCTTGTTTCGAGTTTTATTCAGTTGCTAATTTGAATTTCAAATATCTTGCTTGGCATGTTTGCCCAGAATTCCTGTTTGATAAAAACAGGTATTATGAAAGTGCATGGGTTTTGTTTTAATTTTTCTAGACTCCGTTTTCTTTAAAGACTGACTGCATACTCCCCTGGTCTCTTCCTGCTTTCCTTTTTGTCTACAGTCTTCGAAAAGGTCTGTGGGGTGGGGGAGGGGAGGGAGGGAAGGTCTGTTTCTCAAAAGCTAACCTACCAAATCTCAGATATGGTTTCAACGATTAGACCGAATTGAAAAAGTTCCCCTCCATAAAAGTTATGCCGAAATTTTTTTTTTCACAAAATCATGGCCCTCGGAGGAGTCAAATTTTAAATTTTTTTTCACAGTTTTTTTAAAATCTTTTTCAATTTTTTCTGAAAAACTAACCTCACAAACCTGATGTTGTGGGTTCAAAGGAGATAACGGGTAGTGGTTAGCTGACCTGTATTAGCGGCCACTGACATTTTTTTTCACACAAAAAGTTATCGTCCTCGAAAAAATCTTTTTTTTTAATGTTATTTTTCTGAATTTTATTAACTTAACCAAAACGCACTCTCTCATATCTGAGATTTTGGGTCCAATCCAAAGAATGGGTTGTGGGAAGTTCCTTTGCATAAAAGACTACGCTCAATATTTTTGACACAAAAAATTGTGAGTTCGAAAAATTCAAAGTTTTGATTTTTTACCGTATTTTGAATTTTTAAGCTTTTTTCTTGAACTACCCTGCCAAACTTAGGTTTTTGGTTTAATTGAAACAACAGATTGGTTAAATCTGTTCAGCATAAGCGGCTATGCCCAATTTTTTTGAACAAAAAGCTATGATTCCCGAAAATGTCATTTTTTTTATTTAATGACCGTTTTTTCGACGATATCTATCCTGCCAAATCTGATATCATAGGCTTATTCGACCCAGCAGGTTGTTGGAAGCTTGCCTTTGTAATTTTCTACGACCCATTTTTTTTTTCTTGGAGCGTTGAAAGTTTTGAAAGTTGGAGCGTTTTTGGAAGTTTGTTTACTCTACTCGACATTACCGTGCCAATTCTGAGGTTAAGTGTTCAATCGAGAAACCCGATTTTGGGAATCTTCTCTACTTTACCAGGCAACGACCTGCTTTTAGCAGAAAAAACCTATCGATTTGACCTTTTTTCAGAAACTTTTTGAATTTTCTTAAAAAACTCCCCTTCAAATCTCAGATGACAATGTCAAATGAAAGAAGCGGTTGCACGAATTTTTCCTTCAGAACCATCTACTCCTAATTTTCTTGCAAGAAAAAGGTTAGATCTTTTGGAAAATTCTAAGATCTCATAAATTTTCACTCTTCTCACTTATTTTAGTAGAGCAACAAGTTAGGTTTTGGGGCAAAGTCCAATTTTTGAAAATACGCATTTGGTCCCGCATCAGTTTAACAAACTGAAAAAATATCAAGTACGCAACGCGAGCTTTAGCTGAGCCCTAGGTCTCCTTCATCGACATATACAAAAATTTTGGTTCACCTTTTTCTAAACATTTTTTTTTCGTCTTCGCCTCTGTGTAAAAAATTTCAAGACTAAAAAATTGAAGTTTTTAAAAAATTCGTCCAGGCACAAGCTATGTAAAGAACAAAATGATATATTTCACATGTATCAAAGTATTAAATAGAATGAATAGCGAGCTTCAATTCAATTTGGAATAATTTTCAACTCGGATTAAATCTCCGCTTAGGCGTTTATAGAACGAAATATATAGTGCGTTAATTGTCCCAATTTGACCCAATCGGCAATCTTAAGAACCTTAGAAGTTAAGAAAAAAACTCCTAGTTAAAGATTTGATATATGCTTGGAAAAAAACCACCTGGAGCACAACTATTCTTCGAAGTCCCCTAACTCTGGGAAAAATGATCTCATGTTGTGAAATATCGGTATATATTTGAGCTCAAGACAACAATTTTCAGGTAACCTAAAAAATCCGCGAAAAATGGCTAGTTACGCTTGAGATTAGCAAGCGTTATCATATAGGAGTATAGACTTCTTTCGGGTCAACAACTTGTTTAACAGAATAATTTGAATCACTTGGTTTCTTGGTTCATAATGAATTCAAGTTTCCAAGCATCTCCGGCGTTTTTGGTCTGGAAAATAACGAACACGCCTGGGACGGCAACGAATACGCCTTGGATGGATTCGAATCTGACCAGGACCTGTTTTTAACAGGAATGTTTTAGTCTGCTTATGTTTTGTCGACTTAGTTGCCACATCTTAGATTTTTTTTTGCTGTATGCATTTTTCATTGTAGTCATGTTTTATACTTTTGTTTTTTTCCTGCAGTTTGTAGTTCTTCTACCCTTGACTTCGTATATTTTCCCTTTTTAATTTTTTTTACTCAAAAAGTTTTTCGGTCTGACTGATTTATGCTTATATTTTATTGGCTTACTATCCTAATTTTGGGTCGTTCGATGGAGCCATAATTTGTATGGTTTCCTCCGGATCGTACAAAAGTTAAAAATCTCAGAATACAAGTTATAGTTTAAAGTTGTTCACGACAACAATCGTTTTTTAATTGTTATTTTTTTCCTTAACAATTGGTTTTTTGTTTTCATTAAACGTCGAATGTGTTTCTGGACTTGTTTTCCGAAATTAGAACATCATTACAGACAACATTTTGAAGTTTACTTAAGTTTTCTTGAAAGATT